TATATTTATGTAAGGGGGGGGCGGACGATTGTTAGTGTGTATGTCCTTTTTATATATTCATGTAAGGGAGGGGGGGCAGACGATTGTTATTGTATGTATTTCTATATATTAATGTAAGGGAGGGGGGTGGACGATTGTTAGTCTATGTATTTCTATATATTTATGTAGGGAGGGGACGGATGATTGTTATTGTGTATGTATTTCTATATTTTAATGTAAGGGGGGGGGGCGAAGTGAGTGGGTATGTGTTTTTGTATTTTTGTGTATGATAGTGTGTATGTAAGGCGTGGGGGGGGGTGGCATCTATGTATCGTCTATGTCGTTTTGTCTATATGTTTGTGTGTGTAGGGTGTTATACGATTATCTGTGCCACTGGTGTTTCCTGAGCTTCTCCAGCGTTGGACGGGTGGAAGGATGCCTTCTCAGGCCCCTCTGCAGGAAGTTGTTGCACTCTGGAGAGAGAAGGAGAAGAAAGGTAAGGACGGACCATCATCAGAATGTCACATAAAAGGGGCAGATTTGGGGCATGTTCATGTGTAAATTCTTACCTTTGGACAACCTTTTGGGGAGAGACTGACAATCTCCAAAGAACTTGAGCGTATCGAACACGTCCTTTTCCTCGTGGATCGCATCATACAGCACTGCTCCGATCTGGAACACTGTGGTGGGTTCTGCTTTGTATCAATTTGTACCGTAAACCTCTGGGGAGGCCACAGTACCTAGAACACAAAGACATAATAAAAAAAGACAGTGAGGGTGAGAAGCTAAAGTGTAAAAGTCACAGACGGGTGGGTGAAGAACAGAAGCAAGAGCTGGACATCTAACCGAAAAAGTCCCGGTAAGTCGGTCTTTCCTCGTCAAAACAGCTCATAAAGTCGATGAGGCAAACTCGCGGGAAGTTAGAGCCCGTCTCAATCAGCATGTTCTCTGTCTTTATGTCCCGGTGGAAAATGTTCTTGCTTTTTAGATCGAGTGCGGCATCGACCAGCTGCAGCAGTATAGTCAAAAAAGAGTCAAAAAAGAGCGCTGGCTCAATAATGGAAAACATACCCCAACAACTCTGAAAAATAATAGTTAATTATAAATTTCATGTGTGCCCCCTCGATTAACAATTTAACTTCACATGCGTGTCTTCTCAATATCGCCCAACATCGTAGGTTGGTTGTTTTCTATTTTAACACGCTCGGATTACAATGTCGGGATGAGTTTTGTTATAAGGAGGATACTGTGGTCTCAGGTTTTACCAACTGCATTAAAAAGCTCTTATTTTATCCTTTCACGGCTGAGACTCAAAAGAAACAGTAAGAAAAATGTCCCAACAGTAGAAATCAGACATTTATCTCAAGATAACCACTCTGAATTAAAGCCTTCTCCACATGACAAGTCCAATAAATCATCAACACCAGTTAACGCAGATATCTGTCTGGATTCCTCACTTACCTTGAGCCACCCATTGTTTTCACAATCACAATTTGAGCTTGACAAAAGCTTGTGTGTGTGAAGTTAACAAGTCTTGCAACTAACTCCCTGAATTTGCCAGCTTGTGTCTCATGTTGTAATGTAATGTAATGCAATGCAATGTAAGGCAATGTTGTGGAGAACAGAACATGGAGCATGGAACATGGAGCATGGAACATGGAGCATGGAACATGGAGCATGGAACATGGAACATGGAAGGTGGTGGAACGTTCTTTCCCCCGAGGTCGTTCCTCTGAGGTCACAGCGAGGCATTCTGGAATATGCAAATGACCATTCAGGGTGAATGTGTGATTGGTCGTGGAAAGCAGTCTTATTGCAGCTACTGATACTGATAAGATATGAGATTTTATCCATATTGAGAGATGGCTCATACATATCCACACTAAATTTGTTTGGTTTTGCACAGGTTGCACATTGAGTGCAATTCAGGTTAATTACATCCACAATAAATAAATACAAATATGTCATTTTTTGCACAGATGTAACTTTATTTGCATTGTTCTAACAATATGCCTGTACACTATATTTGTTTTTGGCTGATGGAGCAATCTGGTTACTTGAAACTGATTGCAATTTTTTTGTTCCATTATTTGAAAAAGATTAGATGGAGGAGTCACAAAATGTTATTTGAATAAAAATTCAACATGTACAATTTAGTTGGGGCAGTGGGGCATGAACATCTTTTTGTCAGATATGCAAGCTACTCATATTATTGGTCCAAATCCGAGGCAAACAGTCCATTAAAAAAATTAACCAAAAGTGATAGCAGCTATTTATTAAAGTATGTTTATGTGGTAGTCGTAATTATATTTAATACTAATAGTCAATAGGTTTTTTGAAGAAGCAGAAAAGATCAATGTAATTCAATGTGAATGTGCTGGATCATTTAATAGTTTAAATATAGTGGCATCATTCACACAATTTGCTTCGGTCATGTCTGATGGTGGCTAGCCGGACTTCTAATATCACTTTTTTTCGTCTTCTTTAGGAAGCGTTGTGATTGGAGACCAACAGCCAATCACAATGGACCTTCTTTAATTCTCTGATTGGTTGGTTTTGTGGCACAAATGTAACGCTGCTGCAAGTCGAGCGAGCGCGTGAATGAACCGTCGAGCGAGCGCAGCGTGAAGAGGTGGAGCGAGCGCAGCAACGGCTGTCTGCGCGCAGAAAACCAGTTTGTGGCGAGGGCACTTGAGTAAACTGCGCGCACGGGATGTTTTTCTTTGCTAAAATATAGTTCTCTGTGCTCAAAACTTAAAATTACGCGCTCAGGATTGTGGCACAAATATAACGCCATATTTTTCCCGCTTTTTAAAAGCTGCGCACGTGAGAGTCGGACCAGGGCCCTGTTCCGTACGTAGTTCGACTAAGTCGATCAAATGCTCTACTAGCCAGCTCAAGATGTCAGTCCTCAGGATAATCGCACCCATGTCAAAAGGCGGAAGAGTCGAGGGGCAAATAACTTTTCAGGCTTACAAAAAGTCAGCCCTGTATATTTGTGAGTGTCTGCCTTGCACCAGATTAATCAGAGTAGACTAAAAACAGCCTAAAGCCAGACAAACCAGTGCATCCTGATTAGCTGAAAATACCTGGTGCTGCTAATCAGGTGTGGTGAAGAAAGGAAAAGTGAAAAGGCAGTGGCAGGCTTTTCAGCACCAGGGACAGCGTGCACCGAGGGGACTGAGCGGCACCGCGGACACAGAGAGAGAGAATAAGGTAGCCCCCTCCCCTCATTCACCAGGGAGGGGGGCTATCCCAGCTTCCCATCCTCGTGATCTCCTCCTGATGGTGCCATGCAACTGAAGGCTTGGCCGTGACATTCAACACTACAAGCCTCTTCGTCACACTGTTCCGCAAACTGCTCGTGCAGAGACTCGTCCACGCTGCCGTCCAGGTGGTAGAAGACCTTCAGCCCCAACACGGACACACAGTGGTCCGGCAGAGAGGGGATGGAGACGTCCGCTTCGGAGGAGAAGCTCCATTCCACTGTGACGGCGGCGACCTCCTGGGCCTGATAGCTCAGAGCCGCGGGGTGAGAATGGACCCTGAGAGGAGCAGAGGGAGGAGAGAGCGAGACTTTAAATGCAGAAGCTGTGCAACAACGTGCTTTATTGTCTCTGTGGGAATCATTCATGCTGTAAAGGCTCAGAAAACAGCTCCACGCGCCACATCTCAGAGTCATGGGTGTTACAGAGGGACAAATAGTCTGATGATGAAAACACAAAGGATCAACAGGAAGTTAAGACAGCTTTCTGCACAAATCACATTTATCCAAATGTAGAAATAAGCAATAAAATTACAGTTGTCTTACCATGTAAGAGCTATCTTACACTTAGCATGGTGTTAGCATGCTAGCATGCCAATTAGCACAAAGCACAGTTGCGGCTGATGAGTAACGAGTTGTTACGTTTGTAGGTCATTTGGTGATGAAACAAAGTGTTTGAGAAATTAAAAGTGCAGATGGAAACGTTAAATGGCAATTTTTAATCATTTTAAGTCCTTAAATCCTCACACACTGAAATCATTCAAAAGAGTTCGCCGTTGCTGCCTCCTAGTTTTGTGTTTGATTGTTAATAACCTCGTTGTGGGGTTGTTGTGATAAACGTATTAATGTCGACCTTTACATCGTGCGGCTTGGCTGCCCTCTAGTGGCGGTAAAATGCAGCTGCTGCTGATGTTGTTTCAGGTTTGACAAAGGTTTGCAGAAAAGGACGTAAGCCCGATCATATTTCACATCTGAACAGAATGTACTGTGCACACACAACACTCTCACTGCCTCCTCACAGTAAGGGAACTATTCAACCGTCCGATTGCATTTCTTCATCCATCGCATTGGCCCATTCTTTTGAGTGAGATCAAGTTACAGCTTCACTGAATGTCATTGCACATTAACCTGTAACAATAAACTATGTTTGTCATTACCTGATAATCACTCATCCCATCAGATACATACACCCTCAAACACCCTGGTTTCTTCCTCACTCTGGGACGGTATCGTCTAGGCTCATCACTAGTTTCCTCTGTTCTGCATCTCATCGTTTAGTTTTTGGTTACAAACCTCACCAATCTGTGCTTCTGCACTTTCCCGTCCCGTGGATAGTACACCATGTAGGCTGGACTATTACTGTCGTACCCAACAAAGATTCCCTCCTCACACCTTGTGTCCAATTTTCAACCCACATTTTTGCTTCCTGGAGAGGTTATGCCGTTAGGCTTAGGTTAGGCTGTCTGCACTGCAAAAGTCCATAACTCTTTTGGCAACTCACTCTCTATTAGCATACACCTGGCCATATCAAACAAGGTGCGCCAATTTCACTCAGCTGTAGCATTCTGGAGCGGTGAGTATGGAGCTGAGGTCTCATGTTTAATCCCATTTCTGATGAGTAAGTGCCTGGTAATTCTTTCCCATGAATTTTCCACCATTGTCAGAACTGATACGTTTAATCTTCCCATACTGGGCTGTATCAGCAAGGAACTTCTCTGTTGCTTGTAAAGTGTCACTCTTAGTTTTTATAAAGTACACAAACACTGCACTGGAATAACTACCAGTGATTGATAAAGCAAACCTATGTCCGTTTCTGGACTCTGGCTCGATTGGCCCTGCTAAGTCTGTGTGTACCAACTCTAGAGCTGCTTCTGCTCTTTCCCTGAGTGCACACCTCACAAAGAGGGGCAGGTCGTTCAGTTTTACCTTTGATTTTCATACTATCAACAACACTTCTGAATGTCATCATAATTAGAGTGCCCTAGAATCTCACGCAATGTCTGCATATCAAAACACCCCTTACCTTCATCATCACATGCGTAATTCACTGTGTGTAGTGCAGTCTGTTATACCGTCTATGGTTTGTAGTGTTTAGTATAAACAAGTAAAAATTCAAATGATTGTTTTATAATAGTAATATTCTTTTTATTTTTGTACTACCACCACTAAGTAAATAACGATTATCCTAAAATGAAATCATAATATTGTAATATTCTACCGGTGAAAGGTGATCCCACTTGTTCTCGTTTCGAGTCAATGGCAATTAGAGCATCGCTAGGCTGCACAAAAGCCTTCTTCTTCACTGGCAATAGTCAGCAAATTTCTGTAGAAATCATGATGTAAGATGTTTTTAACAAACCAACCAAATTATTATTTGGTACAATAAATTATGTTGAAAAGAAAAAACAATTCTGCCTCTCCCATTGATTGTGGGTAGTAGCCTAGCTCACTAAGCTGCACGCTTAACTAGTTTTTCGAAGAGAATAGCTGCGATTTCAACATGTTCAAGCGTGCAGATTCATAACCACGTTAATAACGTTTGTAAGAAACCAAACCATTTGTAAATGCGCCAAGATTTCAGCGAGATAAGAGACAGATCACTGACCTTACCTCAGGTACCATAGCTTTTCCCTACCAAGATGGCCGCCACGTGCGGACCTTCTCTCTTCCGCCGTTATGTGCGTATATCTACGGGCGCAAGATCCCGCGCATGCGCACACAGCTGACAGCAGCCGGTGGACGTTTTGACACTACACAGCTGTGTGGAGGTTGATCGCTTTATCCTCAGCCTGCCGCGCAGATTCCTGGACAACAAGACACTCGCGCTGGTTCTACTTAGGTTAGTCAACGAAAAAGGGAGAAAACCACAGTATTTTGATAAAAACAGGTAAGGTCATTCATTTGGTAAGTTCGATACCAGCTCAGCTAACTAACATTAGCCACCTCTAGCTGGAATGCTATCGTCAGTGAACTTGTTCACTTTCTTGAAAGTTAACCTTTCTTGCAGCTGTGTATTGAGAGAGAATGTCCTTAATGTAACGTCATTCAATATATTATTCGGACGTAAACCTTTGTTCCAACCAGGGCAGCTCAAACTGACCCTCTCACAACAACAGAATGAGTCCACTCCGTGATCAGAAAGGCTGAAATGTAAAATAGTTCTAAATAGGTCTTTTATATCTACCTTTTTCTCACTGATTATGTTTGTGCAAAGACTTCTGGTTAATTATTAAATAATCTGGTGTTTCCCTCACAGCATGAAACATAAAGAGCTTCAGTCTGTGACATCTAAAAGTTGAACGGTTCAAACAAGTCCTGTAAACCTGTATAACGAGCTTATTAGTTGACACAAATCAGTCATTTAGGTTGTTGCTGAATCATTTGACATCATTTGTAAGGTGTTATGATTGTGGATGTGCATAGGTGTAATTACCTTGGGGTTCGGCCTTGCAGCCTGAAGACTTGATCATTTCTGGTCTTTCCTATTCGGTGACTATTTAATTGAGCAGTAGTGACTTAGTTTGAGTGGGTTGTGTTTCCAGGAGATGTGTGCTGCTGTGTATGTGCTGTCAACGGTAACGGGCTACGTGCTCGCCTCTGCCCTGCTGCTCAAATGCCCAAATATTTTGCACCGGAGGAAGCGAGAGGCTTTTCGCAGCAGGCACATATCCCACCGCGGAGGTGAGTCTGTGGGACGCTCAAGGATTGGTGCATGGCAACTTTATTTCAAATTCCTCACAAAACTTTTATCACCTATTATATTATTCAGGAAGTGATTTTATATATGAAGTGGATTTATAATTTCCCCTTTGAGCCTCATGCTCTGGTCTTTGCTCATTTTATTGTATTTCTTTTCTGTATAGATTATTGAATTCATAGTTGGACGTAGTTATAACTTCAGTAACAAGTACGAACATGCCTGCTGTTCAGAGATTGGCTCCTTCAACCACCTCTGGTTGGGTTGTTACAATTTTGTTAGTAGATGTAATTGCATGATTTTTGTTATAATATATTTTATTTATTATTGTGCTTCAATCAGTGCTTCAATTTTATTTTTTTTCATCTGGTACGCTGCAGTAGGCGCAGTAAGAGCAATGTATACAGAAAACACTAACACACGTAGTGTTTTTCTTCTTTAATTGCAGGAGCCGGTGAAAACCTGGAAAACACCATGGCAGCTTTCCAGCAGTGAGAATGAACCTTATTCACAATGACAAAGTTCTTTCTTCGGTTTTTGTGTGTGAAACATAACTTGGTGCTTGTGCGTGTGACTGTGGTCAGTTTGTGTCATCTGAGCTTTGTTGGTGATCACGGTCTGACCACCAGACAGCTTTGTGTCGCAACTTCAGATGCTGCAATTTTTCCTGATTTATTAATGTATTGAGGGGGGGGGCAGGGGGGCTCTATGACTTTTAGCGAATGTACATGTGGAGATGAAGACCACACGCGTGTTGTGTGTCGGTCCCTGCAGCGCCGTGGAGCTCGGCACGGACATGCTGGAGCTGGACTGCCACCTGACTAAAGACGAAGAGGTCGTGGTGTCGCATGACGCCAGCTTGCAGAGGGCCTCCGGCATCAACGACCACATCTCCAACGTATGCTACGCTGTGAGTTACTGCCCCGCAACACCCCCTCAAAGCTCAAAGAAATAACTGCACTTTGGTACACTGGTCATTGGTAATCCGTCTTCCACCTACAGGGCCCTTTTGTTTTAGTAAGAAAACCTTAAAAAAAAGAAAAATGAACTGAGATGAACTGAAATGCACAGTGAGCCAGATTACCAGTCACCAGATTAATGCCGATCACTAAGCAGTTTCTGCTCTGACACGCCTGTAACGGCTTTAATGTGTTAACGAACATACTGTTAGGTCTTCATTTTTTACATAATCAACACAAAAAGGTGCATTTGTGTAACTGAAGATCGGCTTCACAGCTCTGTTGTTCTTTGGTTTTGTTTAACAAAGGAGCACAGAGAACTTTACATTAAAGTTGTTTTTGACGCGTCCTCGCCCTCCGCTCTCTGATGGTATTGAGCCCACGAGGAATGTGAACATCCCCAGTCACACCCATCACACCACCTCCACATAAGACCTGACCAGACAGGCTGGCTCTGATTAACCGCTGTGTGCCCTTTGCAGGAGCTCCCTCCATACCTCCGCAAGCTGGGTGTCACTTTTCAGAGAGGTGAGCATCACAAATCACTGGTTGGTGTACTTACTACAGATCACACAGGCATTTTAGTTGACTTTTTAAAGGATAACGTGTTTTTATTTGACAAGCTGTTTGAAATGATGGAATGCCGCCGCGTGCTCGTCCTTGTCTGTGCAGAGTGCTTCTGTGAAGGCGGGGAGGACAAGCGCATCCCTCTCCTCAAGGAGGTCTTTGATGCTTTTCCCAATACTCCCGTCAACATTGACATCAAGGCCAACAATGACACGCTCATCAAGAAGGTGTGTGTTCCTATTTTTCCCTTGTCCTTATTAAAGAAGGATCAGCAGTGTTTACATCGTTGTATATCAAAAGCTGTAAAAACAAAAAAACTACCATCGCAGGTCTCTGAGCTGGTTGTAAAGTACGACAGAGAGCATCTGACCGTCTGGGGCAACGCCAGCAACAAGATTGTGAAGAAGTGTTACAAAGAGGTACGTTTACATGAAATGCTCCGTTCACTTTACCTGCAGGCCAGACATTTCAGGGAGGCAGTCTACCTTAAAAAACACTTTACCGGCAATCATCTCGGCATGGAAAATAAGCGTGCACTTTACTGTGCAATTACTGAATCCGTTATGGACTGTTGGTGTTCCACTGTTGATTACGTTTTAGACTTCACTCGTTATCATCTGTAGTGACTGAATTCAGGGGTTTGAACACAGGTCATGTTGTTTTTCGTTTTTTTTGTGTTGTGCAGAACCCGCATATTCCCGTGTTGTTCAGCCTTCCCAGAGTACTGCAGCTGTTAGGCCTCTTCTACACGGGCCTTCTGCCTTTTGTTCCCCTCAAGGAGCAGTTTCTGGAGATCCCCATGCCTTCTATCATGACCAAGTAGGTGTGCACACATACACATACTGAATGACAGTTAAAGAAATATGCACAAAAAGACAACAGTCTGGGAGAGGTCAACAGCGTGCACCGACCTTCAGTAACACCTCACCATACTGGTTATTGTGCAACACAACAAAGATACAGTTTACAGTTTGTGTGCTCGCAGTAAGTCGAGGTGTGTTTCACGGGGGGGTCAAAGTTCTTTACTTTTATTTGTGCAACTCAAACTCCAAAAATGGAAGCCAATTCCATAATAGTCCCTACACGACAGTCTAAGAAGATGAAACTATAATCCTGCCCCAAACTTTCAAACTTGTACAGAAACAAACTTACTTTTTAGGGTCTTGACGAGCTGAATTTAGATTACAAACGCTTCCATACTTAGGATCACAACTCACTACTTTAAAATCTTACCTAAAAAGGTTGACTGGACAACCCCAAGAGACATGATTACGTCAGGGACAATACTTAATTCTGCTGGGTAATCCTGAGCGCTTTGGCTCGGGATGCAGATGTTGATGCAGCTGCTGTTGGTGGTAACTGACTGTGGATTGAGAGTGGAAATGAAGCTCGTGACAGTTCTTGCATGATCCCTCCATATCGCCACTATCAGTCAAAATGAGTACATCAACTAATACATTGTATTCACCGATCAAAGTTCCTTTAAAACCAAATGAGTGGTTTCTGTCTCTGTTATCTAGACCTCGGTGCTGTCTTTAAAATAAAAGATAAAACATTCACAGCCTACGAGAGAGTGAGTTGTTGGATGATAAGGATCTCGGTCATGGAGCAGATTGTACAGACGTTCCCTGAGGACTAAGTGCTTTCCTTTATTACTCTTCTGTTAAGGCTCAATACAAATACCCCTCTCAAACGCAGTCTTACTGCAGGTTCATTTATCCGTTGTGTTTGATGTGCTCATAAAGTAAATATTTCAAACAACAAAGACTTGTTGTTTGAAATTTGCCTTCTGGCTATTTCATGTCAATGATTTTCTTACTTTCTTAAAATGTATTTCAGCTGTTGGGGGCTATATTTAACCGCAGTAAATTCAGCTGTACATGATCACGTCGCACGTTCTTCCATTATAACAATTTTCGATCGGCTCCGAGAGTATTTAGCGAAATCTGACTGCGCTCGTTGCTTCAGTTTGATATGACTCCTTTACCTTTTCTTTCTGTGTGATTTCGCAGACTAAAGGATCCCAACAGGTTAACGAGGAGTCAGCGAATCATCACCTGGCTGGCAGACACGTAGGTCACTAACTTGACTGAATGTTGTAAACCCCTTTGTCCTTTTAATAAAGGGACTCATTCCCTTTCGTTGCATGGATGCCTTTGTTTTGTGACTCTCTCAAACACGATATTGGTGTTTTTGAGAAGTGCTGCCACTTTGTTGAAGAAATGATAATTTTGTTGAAATAATTCATTACAAATACGTGCATACAGTGTGACAGTTATTAATGCAAAACCCTTCAGAATTGTGCAACTAAACCTCTCGCTAGCTTCACTAGTTTTTTTTCCCCTGCAGATGAGCAAACATTTTCTTTCTCTTGCAGTTTGCTGATGAGGAAAGCTCTGTTCAATCATTTAACTGCACGGGGGATACAGGTAAAGCTGCTTTTTATGAAGCTTCTAGAGTGATTGATTATAGAGAGAATGCTTTCAGTTTTCCTCTGTGAGCTTCCCACCTTTTTATGTGCATAGTTAAGACCAACTAGGGTCATATTCAGGATTGTGTCAATATTAAGTCACTTTCCCTGTATTGTCTTTTATTCCGAGAATGGCTGTAATAGGAAAAAATGACCCTGCATGCCGATCGCTCTTATCATGCTTGTAGTTAAGAGCCGTCACCGGGAAATCTCCGCTGTTGCTGCGAGTTCAGAAATAGGCTGAGTGGCTGCTCACGCTGCTCCCGGAGCACAGACGCCTCCGTTCCCGCTTCGCTTGACCCCTTTTGCTTTGTGATGTGGGTGTTTTTAAACCGGGTGCTGCTTCTGGCTTCAGGTGTACATCTGGGTGCTGAACGACGAGGAAGACTTCCAGAGGGCGTTTGACTTGGGAGCCACGGGGGTTATGACCGATTTCCCCACCAGGCTTAAAGACTTCTTGGACAGGAACAGTGTTTCTAAGAGCCAGTGACAAACCTGTTTGATGCTTTATCAATGCTCTCGAGTTTAAAAGCAGCACCTTAGAGGATATCTATTCAACGCCTCAAAATGGAAAATAGCCCCCTTCATTTTTATTGTAGATTCACTTTTTTAAGTTTTAAGGATTTTTAAAACTGCTGATGCCGTTTGAAAGCAGCTTTGCAACAATTAGCGGTTCTTTTTTTTCCTTTTTACAATCAGAATGAAAGATCTGACTTTTTTTTTTAAAATACATGCTGGAACCAAAAACATTTTTACCGTTCACAAGTGAGGCATAAGAATTTCAAAAGGACCACTGAAAGTTCCACTGCACCTCATTGACAATCCAAACGCACATTCAGTTGAACTCTAAAGTTTTTTGTTTTTCTAGAAAAAAAAATCCCTGTTGTCATATATTCATGTGCAGAAGGTTAGTTCCGTAATTTTCCTCTGACTCAAATGAGATGACTAAAACTGACTTATTATACCAATTAATGAATCAAAGAGAGACATTTTGCACAAGTTGAAACTTTTGTTTGTTGTACTAATGAGTCGTACATTTTCCGGTGTTAAGTGATTGTAAACACAATGGAACTTCATATCTAAGAAAATACGATCATTTTTTAATCTATGAGCTTTCACATAAATCTAAAGGAATTAAATGAAAACTTTAAAAACTGATGTATGTTGATGAATTCCTTCATCTCGGTGACTCAACATTGAAATGTATTAAGGACAGGAGCGCTTTAGCAGGTATCACAGTATAAAAACATGATTATTAGGTTTAAGACTTGTGATGAATGTGGAATTGGTTGTTTATCGTTTGGTATTTACTCCTTGTACTATTTTTCTACTTGCGTTTGTTGTTGGGCATTTTGTCGTGTGAGTACTGTCACTGAATGAGTGGAGGAAGATCTGCACAATCTGTGTTTGTCTTATATTTTGTTTTGAGAACACCTGTACATTCAAAATCATTGTGATCTGCCAATCATATTACAGATCTTACCTTATGGAATTTGTGAATATGTTAATGCTCTGTACTCTCTGGTTTTTATTTTGAGAGCCTAAATTAATATATTTATTCATCTTTGTCAGAACCAGTTTGTGGGACCTGGCTGCCAAATAAAAGTTTTTCTCACAGAAAAAGAATGCTGTTTGATTACATTTGATCAATGTCAATAAAAATCAGGACTATATCATTGAGTATGTTCTGAATATTAGCAGCTGTACTATAATGATGATTTACATGAGTAAGTATTCGGTCATAGACTAACAGCAGGTGGCGCTGTGGACTGACGATATTTAGGAAGTTCTCCCTTTAGCCGAAAAGTTGTTTCTGGTGAAATTGTTACATAAAACCCATCCATGCAGACATTTCTTCCAGTAAAAGTCGACAATAACTGTTGAGGTATTTCTGCTACTACCCATTATGTATTCATAATACTACACTCACATGTACATACATGGAGAATTGAGTAATAAATAAATAATAATGAGGAAGTGATATTATTGGTCCATAGCTTCCTCCTCGACCCCCTCGACCAATGAGCTCATTGTTGCTATGCCCTATCAGTTTGCTGATTGGCTGATGCGGATGTCATTTATTCATCAAATCAACGGCCAGTGAGATTTTTGTCAAAGATCAGAATCTCAGAAGTCAAGATAGCTCTCGTCCTCCAGGATGACCGCTATTGGGCTGTGTTTTCTTTTTCTTTTCACTACCCAAGTTACCAATTGAAGTGCTCCAAGCTGTTTGCATTCACCTAAAAACTGCGATGTGATGGTCAGCAACTTAAAGGAGTTTGAACTGGTCTTGGTAACCTAGGACTAACTGTCGTGTTTAACGTAAATTTAATTTAACATTTGTCAAAACCGCTTAGATTTGTCCGAGATAATAACAGTCAATAATAAACATAATGCAAATATATGTATGTGTATAATTGTATAGCATGTATTCAAATAAATACATTTAAGCAACAATTATGAAACAACTGTCGACAACTGATACATTCTTGCCAATTTCGAGCAATACTTAATCATATACAATATTAGTTGCGTATTACAACAGTATACGAAACAGATTTTTCAGATCAACTGCTAGACGCTTCAGAGAAACATAAAATAAATCCGCCACGGGACAGAAAAGAGCCACCCTACCTGTGTGAATACGAACGCGGAAGTGCGTTGGAGGGAACCCTCTCGCTCCGGCTGGCCGTCTCCTCACTCTCTAGCTGCCTGCTGTAAACTCCGCTGGGCATCATTGCGCGTCAAAACATTGCGTCTTTGCAGGACTTGCCAGGGCTGGAGAGAGGCGGACATTTGCTCGGGAAAGAAATGCTAAAGGGGTTTTAAGTTTGGCACTGCCACGAGGAAAACGAGGAGGTGCGGATCTTTTTAAAGCGACGTGGAGAACCGCTTTTCTTCCCTTCAAAGGTAAAATAATGTCCTCTGCGTTATTTTTTTCAGTATGGTGCATTTGTTGTTACGCACAAAGCCAATCCAAGAGCTTACTTTTTTAAAAAACCGAGACAACTTTTAACATGCAACCCCACGTGTTGTAATATCACAATAAAATCACTGAACTGCGTTCATGGCTTGTAGCCAACAGGAATCAGCGCGTATTACATGATCGTTACGTGTATTCATCGCGCCCGGACTTTCTCACATGCCGTGTTGTGAACTGAATTGGATGCTGTTGTCTACTCTGAACTGAAGCTGTACAGTATCTAGTGGTTGTTATTGGGTTCACATGCTGTTTGTGCTGAACCTATGCGCCATCATCCCCGTGTGCGCGTCAGTGCACGTCAGCGGTCATCAATGCGGGTTCTAACGGGCATGTTATAATCTCCAATCACCTGGTTCTCATCGATCTGCAAAAGTCAATGCAGATGTTTGAGTGTGTGTGTGTGTTTGCGCGTGCGTGAGAGTGTTTTCAGCATTGGTGAGCTGAGGCATCCCCACCATCTGTGCTACGTGCGCTGGCTGAAGTTGTGCACCGGATGAAGTGCGCCACTGCCCGTGACCTGATTCAATAATGACACACTCACACAGTAAACCTTAAGCCTTCGTGTTTTTGTTTATTTATTGATGTGCTAGCCCACGTGACATCAACCATCTCACACAAGGACAACGGCAGTTAGGCCAGCGGGTGGAGATGCTGCATCCCACCCATAAAACATTTTTAAAAAAGTGAGATGCGAGACGGTTTAAGAAGAGACTCTGTTATCATGTTGAAACCTTTGCAATGATCTATTGTTACAGCCTGCATGCAGACAGTGATAGATGTGAGGAATCAATACACAGAGATGGAAGATGGGGACCAGATCTTTCACTGATAGGACTAAACACCATTTATGTACAATAAATGTGTCGTACTCACTTTGTGCCATCGTTCACTCTGTTTCTGTGGCCCCTTTAATCACACTGCACCGTTTATTATCCGTTTTATAAATTAGTATCTAAAAGAGTTACTCTTGGACAAACTCTGCAGTGGAATAAACAAGTACATGTTTCTAAAGTACCTGAGAGCAAGCCCCGAAATAGAGTCGGACAGAAGAAAATGAGATGTGAGGAAAGCTAAGCCATAGCAACAGTAACCAGACACATACACCTGGGATGCTGGAGCCTTGCTTCATCAGTGATATTGGATATGGTTGGGGGAGCAGAGAGGAGTTTGTTTCCTCCTCTAGTCGGTGATGTTATGCTGCTGCAAGGCTGAACGGAGAACAGGAAGAAAGCTTGTGAAGCTTGTGGGCAGCGTCGGGCGCACACACACCTCATCCTTTCCTCAAGGGACACGAATTGCTTCTTCCCTCTCTCTCAATTTCTCAGTTTGTGTTCCTCCTTGTCCCCGTCTGCCCCTCACCACCACCACGCTCCTCCCGCAGCTCTGTCTCTCTCCTGCTCTCGATCGTTGTCAGAAGCAGTATCAGCAGCGGCAGCATCAGTGCCGTTACATAACAAAGGTTTTTGTGTTGGGATACAAGGGCCCTTTTTGGCTGTTGAGGCTGGTGGCACGTAGCCTTTTGTGATGACACCCAGAAATGACCAGAATGGACAGCGCGGTGACCTCAAAAGACCCGCGGCAGAACTGATGAATGGGCAGAGTGACTGCAGAAAAAATAAATAAATACACAAGCATGCCGAGAGGCATGGAGACCGACGGGAAAAACAAACCGACGATAAAAGATGGACCGACACAGAACAAACAGAGGTCGTGCAGTTTCAGTGAACTGGGCTGAGCCGCTGTGCTTCAGTTCCTCTGGTCATCTGATCGTTCATGCCATTTGTTATTCCGTCAGAGAGTTTTGCTTTTTTTGTGCTAAGCGCGCCAGCTTCCTTGTTCCCACGGACAATGCTGCACAGCAACACGCGTTTCAAGCATCTCCACCCACTAAGATGAGTGTTAAAAACGGAATGTTTTTAAATGTCAAACAGCGTCACGGTGCAGCCTAATTAATGCGATAAAAGCCTTCTCCTGCAGTTTCCTGTACTCGGCCGTGTTGCAGGTCATTCCCTTGAAAATGTCAGCTAATAATAAAAGCTCAGGTACCAGGATTTATATGTTTTATTAAGTAAGAGTTTGTCATGGCCGTAATGAAGTGATTCCGACTGCAGATAATACAGAGAGAACCCCTCGTGGATTAAGAAGATGTGCACTACGTGCAGAACTTCATTCCAGCAGAGCTTTTCATTGAGAGATTGTTTGAGTAAACATCTCACCTCTCAGCTGTAACGGAAAAGTTCACATCCACGTTCATATTTTGGAAATTTAGATGGTGTATTTATCCTATGTGACTTGTTGCAAATGCAGGCGTAGAGGCTTAACAGAAGAAACTTCAAATGAATGAATTAAGTGAGAAGCTTACATTCCGAGATTACCTACAGTGCTTTAAATCAGCTACGGTTTGTGCCAATGTAAGTGATTGTCTTGATTAGTTGTATTTCCAATTGCTGGTTCAATCATACCAGCTGTCTAAAACTTAAATACATTCAGTTTACTAATATAAGAGCCTTATAACGGCAGTATTTATTCACATGTTAAAAAGCTGGGCCTTGTCAAATGTAGGCATTTTTGTCCAATTACTTGTAAATCAAGTGGCAAAAGTCTCAGATTCTCATATTAAACCAAGAGCATAAAACATGCTTTGGGTAAGAGTTCTGTGTGTGTGTGTGTGTGTGTGTGTGTGTGTGTCGGGGGTCACTCCGACAACTGTACTGAGCGTGTCTTTGTGCCCCGATCCCACGCCGCTGGCACCGCGTCAGAGGAGAGAAAACAAGGGCACATCTCACTGCCTTATTTATTCATTTCTACCCGCCGGTCCTTCCCATCAGCACTGCAGCCTTCATCCGCCCCCGACACTAAAAACAATCATATTGCAGGGCAATAAAGTAAAGAGGCTCCTCTCTCGTCTCTTGATTATAGTCACAGTGGCCTTCTGCTCCCATTCAGGAATGTATTAGTTTTTCCAGATGTCTCAGACACGATAGAAATTTAATTTATTTAGAAAGGTCATGTCTTTATATTTAATTGTGTTACATTTGTGTCATTTTGATGAGAAAGAATCGTGAGTGGAGATAGGTAGTAAAAGGTGCATATATTCTTTGATTGAGTGTCTTTATGAAAAGTAGCACTGGGAAGTAGAGCTACATTACACTTTTAAGGTCAATAGGTCGTGTGTGGCACTAGAGCTACTGCGGCTGAAACCAATCGCTAAAGTTGCATTAAGCAATACAACCACAAAGATGGAATCTGCAGCACCAGGTGAAGAGCAGAGTGCCCCTCAGCATCTCCTGTACAGTCAAAACATACCTCTGTCCTCCTGGCTCCGACCCTGTGGGACGAGTTCCTTTAACCGTCTCCGTCACCGGTGCACAGATGTATTTTAAGAGTATTATAGAATTCGTGAAGGGAGAAGAGAAAAATTCTCGCTGTTGTGCTACGCTAAGCAGATTATCTCTGCAGCCTCGTAGACCTAAACACGGAGCGTGGGCCGTGGTGTTGCTGCCTGTGTGCACTGCGAGTAAGTGCAGAATATTCTGAAACCAAGCTGCAGCCGCGACTAACGATTGCCTTCAGTGTCCGTGTTCTGCCACGTCAGTTAATTCATTAAGTGTACCGTTTAAAAATAAGAGGGAAAAAAAAGACATATTTGGTAAGAACGCAGGTCGGTGTGCAAAAATGTATTGCTCTTATAGAGGTAATAGTCCAAAAGGTATGCAATCAAAAAGTACCTGATACAGGAAAGCAACAAATCGTCGCGTTTGAGGAGCTGGATTCATGATTACTGAGATTAAAATCCAGCCCCAGTAGCTTCTCTGCACTTACCGACATGCATTGAGCTAAATGCCAAACGGCTGCATGCTTACATACACAGAATGACATGCTCATGTGTATAATGTAGGAATAATGTTTACCATGTTAGTTAGCGTGCCCGCATGCTAACTTTTGATTATCACTACTAAACGCAGTAATGCTGAGGATGGGAATGTCATTCGTTTTTCAGGTATCTGATTGGATGCAAAATACCTGCAAATACCTACATTGTCAAATTTTAGTTTAGCCTTGATGATGGCAGAGGAAGAGTTCATCCTCTGGGCACCATGAAAGTCTACACAAAGCTTTGTCCCAAGTCATCAAGTAGTAGTTGAGGTATTTCGGCGGAGGGCAGACTGACATTGTCATCACTCGAGCCATGTCGCCAGCATGGCTAAAAGTGACTTTAACTAAGCATTTATCATAACAGTTACCTGTTGATTTTTTTGTCTGTCCCTGCTTCGATAGCCCAAACAGTCCTCTCGACCAACTAGGACTCATTTTTGGCCTCTAGAAGAAGCGATGTCCTGTGTGGTGGATGCCTGTACCTGTACCATGTTTGTATCTCACCTCATGAAAGTAGAATTTCCTCAGTGTTTTCAGCTTTACAAATGAAATGTGTAATGTTGTGTCTCAGCCTGACACACAGGCCTGTTAATTATGCAATCACATCACATCACAGCTCTTTGAGGTTTAACTGTTTCAAAGACGCCAGCAGGTTGGAGAATTCTCCCAAACACACAGCGCAGAGCGTACCGCCGTCGGCAGTTAGGCACGTGCGGCTCAGCTTACAACATCAGCTCAGGGAAGCAGCTGTTTACGCGCCTGTGTAACCATTAGCTGCTCCTTGTACCCTCCCTGTGCGCAGGTGTTCGCCTCCCAACCCGGCGCCCACCACGGCCCTCACCTGTGTGTTGCGGTGCTTCCCTTGTGAGCCGACCTGGGCTGGCAGTCCCTTCTTGCACCGCCCGCCAACTCCGCCCATGGTCAGGATGACGCGCTCCAAGACCTTCCAGGCATACCTGCCGAGCTGCCACCGGACCTACAGCTGCATCCACTGCCGAGCTCACCTGGCCAACCACGACGAGCTCATCTCCAAGGTAACCGGCCAGCCGCTCCGGTGACTTGACTCGTCTTACTCACCGTAGGACTGTACTTACGTTCAGGCAGTTAATTGTCACTGAAATGGCACTTTACACCCCCAAGCAAAAATATGCAGCATACAGTTGTTGCCTCTTTAATGTCGCGGCACAGTCAGTGATGCAGTAGGAATTGACGTGGACCAGCGTTGAACGTTTAATAAAGGAGCAGGGCGGATGAGGAATTATGGCAACCAAACAGGCTGAACACCTGTGCGTCCGCGTCAGCAGGCGCCACACTGTTGCTTGTGGATGGATTATGTTATAAACTGGTTAGCGAAGAGGATTATGAATCACTTTCTCCTCATGTGATAATGAAAACACTGCTCGCTCGTGCCCAAAGGGTTTTCCGCCGGTCGTAACACATCTGCACCATGGAAACCCGTTTTTGTTGTGAAAAATAACCGCCTGCAAAGTAATTATTCGTCACATCTGGTAAAGCCACTTATTTTATAAAAGCTGCTATTAAAGTAAGGGCCTGCCTCAAATCAACATTTTTGTATTTTATATTAATGAGAACTCCTTTGTCTCAAGCATTATGCTAATGTCATAGCATTCTTACATTATTTTATAGTTACTACACTGTATGAAAGGGCTCATTCTTTGCCTCATCTCGTCCCTGCAGTCGTTTCAGGGGAGCCAAGGCAGAGCCTACCTGTTCAATTCCGTGTAAGTATCCCTCTCTTGTTGCTTTTCAACCCACCTGGTTCACATTATTCTTTCCAAAAAAAAAGAAAACAGACCCAGATGCCCGACTCGGACAGGAGACAAGTGCTCCAACAGGCTGGCTGTTTGTTAGCCTCGGTGCAGACGGAGTTATTATCGGCCCGAGTTGAGTGTGAAAATTGGGCAGTTTGGACGCATGCTCCCCGGCCCGAGCGCCAGCGTGCGCCGTGCGAGTGGGCGTGAAGCTGTGACTCACTCGGACTGCATCGTACAGTAAATGCATCGAGGCAACGACGCTCCTTTGTCTCCTCTGACTCAGGGTGAACGTCGGCTGTGGCCCTGCAGAAGAGAGGGTTCTGCTCACAGGCCTGCACGCTGTAGCAGACATCTACTGTGAGAACTGCAAGACCACCCTGGGCTGGAAATACGTAAGTGACCTTTGCTTATTTTTAATGCACAAGCACGACATACCGCAATCCAGGATTAGAGGGCGATGAATCGGGAGGTTGTTATTAAAGTCCACGCTAATTTTATTTGCACCCTATTTGTGTTTGGACCATCCTCTTCTTTTGGGGTCAACGCAATGTTGCGGCTGTGTGGGATGAATTAATTATGAGACTGGAGATTTATCTTGTGTGACTTGATTAGTTGTGACTGTTTTTGGGGAAGTGAAACATATCCGCGTTTCATTTCTCACTGAACCTGAAGATCGATGTAGAATGTCTGGACAATAATGGTGGTAAGTGAACATTTAGACACTGACAGGTTAGTTCTTCATTCAGAGCCATACAGTCCATCAAGTCTGCATTTAGTACAGGTGGTATTTCAGGTCTTGTGCCAGTGTGATCTTAACAGCATTCACACTCATTAGCTGTCTTGGTGTAGCAGCAGCAGCTGTCCCCGGTGAACTCTACCTGCGTGGAGAGTTTACACCAAAGGGGACGTGACTGTATCCCGGAGGAGTTTGCACGCACACAAACGGTGTCCTTGTTGTTTGACTTCTCGAAAAGCCTCCGTCAACCGGCACTCGTAGCCCAACCTCAGACGTCCTGCAGCCTAAAAATAACCGCCTTCCTTATGACGCCTGCTATAAACACCTGGCCCACCAGCTTTTAAAAGTAGAAACTTTTCTGGGCAGTTTCTATTCCTGTCAGGAACCCACGAGGCAGGGAAAAAAAAGAAAAACAGAGGTCACGTGCACGCACAAGCACGCTGACACTTGATAGGACTTAATGGAGGGTTTCCAATAATATCAGTGGCAGCGGTATTGATTTTCCACAGTCGACAAAGTTCTATTGAGAGGCTTGACCTACTGCACTTCTACGTGGAGAAATATGATAACGTGCCGCTTCAGCTCGAAGCCAAAATAGCCAAAGACAAAGCGAGGCACAGACGCTCCACAGCGAAAGAGCATTTGTGTGAGCCGACTCTGTGGCCCGGGCTTTTGGAGAGACGTCTAAAATGAGTGGGTGGCTTTGGAAAAAAAAAAACTGTTGATTGGGTTGGCTAGAAAGCAGAAGTTGTCATTTTTTATTACAGTTTTCAGAGCACAAGCTGTGTCGAAATGATCCCCGTTATAGAGTGTTTTCTAAAGGATTAATAATAGAAAGGAGCATTTCTTCACCTCTCGACGGTTCAAAAAAGGTCTATTTGAGCTGGCGGCTTAGGTTTAGTGCTTGCCGCTATCATCGTCCGTTACTTGAGCCACGAATATCCTAATTTGGGGATATGTGGGGTGGAACAAGCTGAGGTAAGATTAGCAAGCAGCAGCCACCAGCATGATCAAGTGAGAGATGTCTTTTAGTCAAAAAACAGCAATAGTCAAATTCACCGTAGGCTAAAGGCCGGTATCCGGTAAGGAGGGACATGGAGTAATGTTAACAGCTCGGAGAGGCCTCTGTAGAAGGTACAGCCTTGCTTTATGCTAAATGCTAACATGGGCGTGCTAAAAGGCTCCCACGACAATGCGAACATTCTCATGTTAAGCAGGTTGAACGTTTACATGGTTTTCAATTTTAGATTAGCTCTTTAGCATGCTAACATTTCTAATTAGCACCAAATACTAAGCACACAGTTGAGAGGGATGAGAATTACTTGTTTTGTTAGTTTTGTATGTTATTTTGCCTCAAACAACAGTTATTGGGAGAAACTTACACAAGTAAGTTGAAGATTTTCATTTAAATAAATGTCTGCTAAGACACTATTCCTTAAACCTGATCATTCCCTGCACAGTCTGAACACAATTTTGAAAACTCGAAGCTCAAATAACAAAATAGCACAATTCCAGTATTTTCTTAAAAGGCCGATCTGATGACTGTTGCAATCATGCTTTTCAAATGATGCACATTTGCACTTACAATACTGTATGTGTACTAGTGAAAACGTCGAAACTGATCACAGTGTTGATGTGAAGAGGAGCTGGTATGCCTTCTGTGTGGTTTGGAGGAATTTTGGATTGCACACCTACAGCGGAGAAGCAGGTTGCAGCCTGCAGACACAGAGCGGACGGCGCGTCTGTGCTGCCTGTTGCGAGGCTCAAATATGAGGCCTTTGCGTTTTACTGTTACTCGGCTGTGAGACAGACAGATTCCCGCCAGCTTAAGGTATACCGATCCAGCCGGGTCAGAGATTTGTTTCTCCGGGCTCCTCTGCAGTGTTTAGTGACCGAAGGTTACATAACCAGCTCCCAGGGAGCCAGCGCCGAGTCGAGGACTTTCATATACAGCTGAAGGGGCGGTCGTTGGGCCTTTTTTATTTTTTTTAAAGCACCCTGCGTCTGTTTCTATCTATCCTGCTCAATACATCAGCATGTTATCGTTCTCTGTCTGTCCGTCTTTTTGATCAAATCTCCCCTGTCCTCTGCCACACCCTGCAGGAACACGCCTTTGAGAGCAGTCAGAAGTATAAAGAGGGCAAGTTTCATCATCGAGCTGGCCCACATGATCAAGGACAACGGCTGGGACTGAGTGACGAGCAGCCCGGGACACTACTGCAGCAGAGAGAGGGAGGGGGAGGGGAGGGAGGGAGGGACGGGGGCTCGATGACTCCGATGGACAGATGAATGGAATGGGAGGCTTCTTCTTAGGAATAGGGGAAGGGGAGGGGGGGGGGTTGTGTGTGTGTGTTGGGTGATTGTGTGACTTTGGCTGATTTACCATTCACCTTTGTAACTCTCTGCCCCGTCCCTCCCTTCCACGACCCTCGATGTACGCACGCACACGCAAACACACACATGCTGACGTTTCCAGACATCCCAGCTTGACAGAGAGGCGGAAAGGCGGGCTCGTACGCGGCCGGCAGGAGTAGGTGACCGACCGGCGAGACGTCTCATTTTCAAGCGTTATTCTTTTTCTTCTTCTACTGAAACGTTATTCGGCAGATCTTCAGAAAGGTTGCGACGCCACTCCTCTGTGCCTGCCGCGAGACATCTTCATTGTGTGACGTGTTCCACCTTCGCCTAAACAGAAACGTTCGTGTCTGTCACGGAGTGGAAATTCAGCCCCCCCGGAGGAGGGCGGCTAGGCTGCCCGGACGGCGTCCTTTGGCTTCGGTTGAAGAGCCGACTGGCCTTCACTCTGTCATCAGCTTGAATCAGATGACCTAAGATGATTATAGCAAATCCAGCTGATCGCCGCCATGCCAGCTGGGCCAGTGATGAAGCGCGGAGGCACGGCCCCGTGGCTGTTTGGATGGCGGGTGGGGTGGGCGAAAAGGGATTGCCGCTCCCCCAACGCGGTGGGCTGGGGAGGACCCCCATCCAGTTATGCAGAGGATTTGATGGCTTTCTCGCTTGGATTCAGTGCATTTCTTGCTAGTGATGCAGCTCAGGAATGTGCGGCGAGTGAAGGAGAGGCAGTCTGGTGTCTGCAGACGCATGGAGGCGGCCACCTTTGTTACCTAGCCAGGCAGAATTACACAACATTAGCGTGTCTCAGGTGTCTCAGGTGAGCAACAACTGGCTGGATTTTCCCCAAAAAGCTCCGCGATCACCGCGAGCATCTCTCCGCGGCTGGAGGTCGTTGGAGGTCATTTGACGGCGCGGTACAGCGAGCGGTCAGTCCGATGCAAACACAAAGCCCTGCTATCGTGCAAATAAAGAGTGCGATTTGAAGACACTGACAGATAAGTGGTTGAAGCATGACGTGTCTCACGGGCCAAGAGAACATGCAAATAGTAAGGAAAAGTCATTTGTTACCTTTACCGAAGTTACGAGGTATTTACACATCAGCGCTGTGTGATGTAGGTACGGTTTCACTCTCTTTCAATCTGGGATGGCTGCTGTTTAACTGCTGTTAAACTGATCTTCACTAACCGACCCTCACAAAAAAGAAATAACAAACCTACTTGGCAAACATTGTGAAGCGATTCACCAGATAGAGCCACACGCTTATTGTGTTCCTCTTCGCATTAACACGTTATCTTCTTAGGTTTTAGATATTTTTTCTTCCACCTCAATTCTCTTAAATATCCCGTGAGTTATAAACCTGGATGACATTAAAGGAAAGCACTGCTTCAGGTACCTTCATGCTACCGTCCCTTCTTAATGTGCTGGATGTGTTATTACTCTCTGACGGAAGTGTTCTGACCGGTTCCGCGCTCGGTCCTCGTCACATTTCTGTGAAAAGAACATTTAGTGAGTTACAATGAAACCTTGTGCTGTAAAACAACAAATAATCACATTCGCCTCGGTCGTGTGAGCTGTGAGGTCTTTCTTCTTCGGTTTCTGGTCCAGAGTTGAGTGAAATTGCCCCGTTTGCCCGTCGTTGTCGTGAGTATCGCTCTAGAAGCCGCCCTGCACGGGTTGAGTGCTGCGCCAGACTCTTGTTCCAACCAAACCCAAACAGACGACTCCCCACGGCCACACTAAGCCGCGCACAACCAAAGAAGCCGCCCATCCGCAGTTAATTGATCAAACGAAACACCTCATTTTGCTTTGGCGAAGGGGTGCGAAACAAGGGGCGACGTATAGCTGAAAGCCAAGGTTGTTGGTAGCCTTTCTCTATGATATAGATAATGTATTATGATTTTGTAAACAAAAGATCTTAATATATGAGTATATTCTATTTACTGTATTCACCACGAGGAATCAAGGAGTCAACCTCCGTGCTACAGACTGTAAATAGTGTTACTGTATTGTGTTTTATCTATGATCCATGCGATGAATGAATGAATATGATTTAGGTCATGTCATGCTTTATTTCTGGTACCCCACATTGGCTGTACAATACTACTTTTTTACTGAAAATATTTCAATTTTAATGTCTTTTGTAAAGGAGGATGCTGATGTTGACTATATATCATTGGCCCTTCATCTAATAAAATGCACCTTGATATCTGAATGGAATACAGTGTTTGTTTCTTCTCATGCAGCTTTAAATATTAGCGTCAAGCTGTTTAAATGGTGAACTTCCATGACACACATTAATTAAATTGGGTGATTGATTGAAGTGTTTAAAAAAAAAAAATGTTTAAAACTTGATGCCACATTTTCCAAAGCGTCGACATTATTCAGTCTATTTTCTGAGGCAAATCCATAATCTCACATTAAAGCATAACAGTGATCACTGTGGCCACAATTAACACAGTAAATGTTAAAACCGTAAAGCTCTTGTCCCCAAAGTTTGCAGGATTAAAGATGAAGTCAGTTATTTAATGTACCACTGCAAATGTGATGTGACGTCCAAGCACCAAAATGGATATTCTAGGAAACAGTAAATGAATTAGCTCTAGTTTAGGATATTTCCACGGCTCGTTGAACTTGAATAGTACAATCATGGCTGCTTTTTCACGCTGTCTCTAGTGGCTTAATGTCTCTAGTTAGCTATTAATAGAGACCATGAGCTATATAAGCTATCAAGGCTGCACCATCAAAGCCTGTGTGGTAAACTTTTTCTTTGCTTATAAATCTACCCTTCATCTTTCAGCAAAATAAAAACACATTAATGCAGATATATTTTATTGATTTGAAAGCTTTTGTAAGATTGGAGAACCCGTTCAGAAGATTGACTGGACTGTGACATAAATAACTCAAGTGAACCGATAAAAGGTTCATGTTTACTTTTTGCAGAAGACAATCCCATTCTTACTAAAATACACCTTTAATAACACCTCCGATGGTAACATTTTATTGTCCCCATGGTAACAAGTGCATCATCAAAAACATGACGTCCTCCATAACGGTGATGCTCACTGTGGAGTTTTTTAGGGGTTTATTTGAGGATCTGTGTGTGTGTGTGTGTGTGTGTGTGTGTGTGTGTGTGTGTGTGTGTGTGTGTGAGAGAGAAGAGGCGGGTCACGGGTACAACGGTCATCTTTTAGTCTTGCATTATTCAAGCTTCTCGTCATGATTACTCCCCCCCCACACACACACACTCACTCCCCCTTGTGCCTGTTTTCCCATCTCCTAATACCCACTCCCCTTTCTTGCCTTCCATTTATCTTCCATTATCATCCCTCCCCTCCCCTCCTCCTCCTGCCCCCTGTAGTCTCGTTTCCAATGATCCTCCTGGGTTGATTTCCCTCTCTGTCCGAGTTGGCGAACCTGCTCCAAATCTCACTGCAGCAGATGGTGCCGTGTTTGCATTGGGTTAGGTCTCCTAGCAACCCCGTCACTTTCTCGCTCGGTCTCCCCTTCTCCTTTTTCCTAAAGCGGAGCAGTGGAGGAGTTGGTGTCACACACTGTGTGGGTCCGCCATGCCCACCGCTCCTCAGTCTCTTTAATTGACCCCCCCCCTCCACCGCCTCCCGGTGCTGATGTCTATGTTTACGTCCGTCTCTCCGTCGGATGCGAAACTAGGGCAGCGGCAGACTGTCTGGATCACTATACGCATGTAATGATTACGTTTGATGTGCAAGAGAGAAAAAGCAGGACACACAACAACCAATGTGATTTGTTCCCCGATGTGACCTAGATTTGGTACAGATGTTCACATGTGTCGCGACGGCAGGGAAAGATCACATCGGGGCCACGCAGGGTTTAAAGCTCACATTATTTCCAGCAGCTAGAAGTAGATTTAGAGGTTTTGTTCGTCATCTTCCCGAGATCTGGCACTTAAAAAGAGATCATTAGCATCCTGGGAGACATGCTGATGAAAGCACAACATCAGATGTGCATGTAGACACATACAATGATTTATAGAAACAGTCTGCCAGCTATAGTCTGACACACACACACACACACACACACACACACACACACACACACACTTTGCAAAGAGAGGAGGGCAAATAAGGACACGCTTGCATCCTTACATGGTTCGTGTGCTTTGATGCTACCTCCGGTCTGCAGACACAGAGACACATTAGTGTATCTGCATACATGAAAGAAGCCGCAATATAGCTGTAAACTATACTTCATTGGTTTATTTTAAATTAAGGAGATAGTAGATGTAAATCATGTGAAGAAGGTTTACTCAATCTCCATGTGAGAATATGTACATGTAATACAGAATAGTTCTAAAGAAATACACTTTTAACATAACAACGCTTACATTAAATAAAAGCTCTAATCTTTAGAGGATAGTTGGGTGAAAAAAATCTAAAAACCTTCATGTCTACATTAAATATGAAGCTGGTTAGCTTAGCTTTGCACAAGGACTGGAAAGCAGTTGGCCAAAAACTAGTCTCACTCTGTTGAAAGCCAACACAACTAAATCAAAATAAACAGAGGATATGTAATTTGTTTAATCCTTACAAAAACGTTAGTGTAGAAATAACTTGTGTGAGTGTTGTGTAAAACCAATAGCTAGGACAGAACTTCCCTCCAGTCTCCACTACAGTTTTTATCACTTGCTTTTTGTGAAGATTAAAATAATAAAACACAACGCGTTAACTGCTGGGTTTAAGGGCAGCTCGCTCCACCCTCATTGTCACCAGATACAAATCCCTCCAAACTGTATTTCTAAAAGTCCTCACTAATATGGACGCACACAGACGTCTCTAATGGCTCACAGAGTGATCATCCATCACGCACAGACACAAACAACACGCCGAATCACCACCGCTGGGACGCTGTGGGGAAAACAACACAATACAAATGGCAGCCGCGCGCCAACGCCAATGATGGCCGTCCCTGATTAATTGCTTTAATTTGCTTTTCCGGCTTGCATCACAACACAACGACACAAACGCTTGATCGTTCTCCTTCAAGCGCGTTGACTCAGCAGCATAAAGAGCAACAACCCGCGGCTTTGTGTTTCTTCTGTGCGTCCTCGTGGAGAAAAAAAAAAAAAGAAGAAAGAAAGAAAGCGTTATCTCGCTGCAAACGCTTGCGTCATTGACTACAAGTGGCGCCGAGTATTAATGATCACCGCGTGAGCGTCCCCGCTTCATCGTCTGCGCCGGCACCTCAAATCTGCCTTTGTGGCTCTTTCTTCCTGCTGAGGGGGAATCGTTGGACCCCCCGAGGGCAGCAGAGTGCTCCCGGTTAGTCCACAGGCCTCTTCCCTCTCGCCCTGTGATCTCCTATTTATACCAGACACTCGAACGCAGGCCGAGGGCGGCCTCGCTCATGAGCAACGTACAAGGCCGCATTCGAGAGGCCCTCCAGGACGCCTTGCTGTCTGCATAAACTCTCCCAAATGGAGTAAAAGCATGCGGACGCCTTTACAAGGAACACTGAGGGAAGAAGGTGCAGGATATTGTTGTTGTTGTTTTTTTGTATGCAAAACTGTAGATAAGAAAGCGCGTGCAACCACGGGGAAGCAATTATGGAAACTCTTTCTCTCTTTTTCTAAGAACCAAGGACTCATTTCAGACGGCCATTTCACGTCAGGCGTCGATTGAACGACAAATTCATCCATGTTTGAGATCACGCAAAGTTCTCACACCGCTTCCATCGTCCCAGGAGCAAAGAACAAAAAGTGAAGAAAGGTCCTAAATGAACCTCCCTCATTTCTGTCCACACCGTGTGACTCTGAACAATCAGCCCCTTCCTGTCCGTGGCTGATTCAAAGCAGATGTATGTGAGGCTGGTCAAACCCCCACTAGGGAGGGGGGAGGGGGGGGACGACAAACGCAGACGCTGCCAGGAGACCTGCTGTAAGGCCGCCTGGCTGAGGACCGCAGAGACTATTAATAGCTCATCTCAGACGCTCGGCGGCGCCGCCCACATTACCCACGTGGCAAAACAGCAGCACCGAGCAAAAACAACACCACTGCAACACCGTACCACTTTTCAACGAGAGGGGCCTGCTCACGGCTCGACGTGGATACGAAGGGATGAAAGACAGTGGCAGATTAGGGCAAATCCTTATATTATAAACTGCATGATGCAGATGAGGGAACACAAGCGGCCCACCGGAGCCCCCCCCCCTGCATTAGCATTAACCAGTTTTGGCGTCCATCCCAGAGAATTGAAATCACAAGCCGCTCTCTCTGGGAAGTGAGACCTAAAAACACATCTGCAATGCAAGCGCTTATGGCCACATGTCCGTCCCCCCACCCCCCTTCCCCCGAAGAGAATGAAAAAATGCAGCAGCGGTTCCGCTCAGTCCTGCAAGACAAGTCTGGAATGAATTGATGGACTCAATCGTGCCAGAAACAGATGCAGTGTTCTAAATATATCAAAGTGCAGTCTCGCACAACGGATAAGAGGAAATAAGACTCTGATCAGAAGATGTGGTTGATCCTGGAGCAACCCAGATTAGGGATTTCGGTAATCTCAGCACAGTGGTTTCAGATTAGGCAGATCTTATTTACTGCTTTCCTCAAACAGGTCAGTGTGAGGGAGGTGGGAGGGGGGGGTTCTGTAGTAAACAACTACTGTTGGAAGAGTAAGAGAGACAGGATGGAGTTCAACACATTTTTCACAGTCTCTAATTTGACAATATCTTTTTTTTTTTTTATTTGAATGCCAACAATGCAAAGCCTTTAAACTGCACGAGTCAATGCTTTTACTGGAAAAGAATCTTAACCACCCAAAAAAAATCAATTAGGTGCATTAGTATTTCAGCTTGGCTCTGATGTTAAGAGTTATTGAGCTACTCCCAAGCTGACTTTTAAGTCTGCACGAAAAAACATCTGCATTATTTACATAAATGTGCCCATTATCTCTCGCAAAAAAGGTTGCAACACAACTTTTGTTCGTTTTTCAATGTCAGATTATTGACTAACTAACAATTGCTGGAGCAATTTATCAACCAGCTGATATGTAACATCCAGCTTTTCCCAAGAATAACACCGTGTAAATGAAACAGAGACACATTTCATGATAGCAGAGTGTCGCTGCCTCGTCTCCCCTCACAAGAACCACACTCGTCTCTGCGTTTGTATTATTGAGTTGAAATATTTATTTTTTAAAACTGAAAAAATAAAAACAAACCCACCAACATAGTTTTTAGTATATCGTACAAAGACATATTTCAATGTTGCTATGTGAGTATTTGTTTCTCTTTGACTACAGTGTGAGGCAGTTTGAAAGGCTGGCTGAGCTGACGAGAGACAGAGAGAGACAGAGAGGGACAGAGGGACAGAGAGAGACAGAGAGAGACAGAGAGATACAGAGAGATTCATTGAGAATATTTGGGCAAACATATAACCTGACAACCCTCAAGGTGCATTCAATTCATCTTTCTAGACATTTTCAAATAGGAATATAAAATGTGTCTTTTTTGTTGTTTTCGTTTTACATTCCATTTTCTCATGAAATCAGCTCCCCGGGTGTGAAAAAAGGGACAAACAGGTTAAATCATTATTAAATACAGATACACCTGAACCCAACAATAATACTATTAATACTTGCTGTTTCTTTAAGCTGCTTGGGGCACAGATGGGTGGCGTTAATTACAAAAAATATTTCAAAGTCTGTCTAATAAAACCCTTATTAAAAATTTTTTTTAGACGCACCCATTTGCTCCTGCAAGCAGTTTAAAACTAGTTTTTAAGAATCAACACCATTTGACCAGCATCTGTTAAATAAACCAGTGTCGCAACTTTTCGTTTTTGAAACATACACAGCTGAAGCAGAGCGCCAAAACAAAGTACGTCAAGACGGAGAAAGGGAGAGAAACTCCAAGGGAGCCATCATGGTCGTCATCGAACGGATGTCTCCTCACAGCGTCAACAACAAGTATAAAGTCAGTCCTCCCTCCCTCTCCTGGGGGCTCCCGAGTGCACCGTCCATCCTCATTCAATTAAACCGAATCCTCACTTGAGATGCAAAAAAAAAAAAGGAACGCTATAGAATGCTTTTAGATTAAACGAAAGCTACCATTTCCAACAAAAGAAGGCTTGTAGTTTATATACACGGTTATACAGGAAGCTATTGTCCTGCAGGGCATCTGAAGAGGCAGGATCATGTGACACACCGGAAAACAACATCTCATGAATAAAACCTCCGTGCGTCTTTATAAAGATCCCGACATTCAAACTTTTTAGGCTTTGCGTTTGCTGCTACTGCGGATTTTCTGGTCCTTCCTTCTGAAAATCAACCTGGCCGCAGAGTCACGACGTCTCCATCAACTAGTCTCCGTCCATCATCAGACGACACCGAGGGCAGTTTGACGTGAGACCGGATCCCAGCCTTCGGTGACAGAAGCGACCGACGCTTGTGTCCATCGATGAGGGTGTCCAACCGCGGTTTAGCAACCGCTGCTTATTTTTTGTATATATAAAAAAAAGGAATATTTCCCTTTTGATCGCTATGAAAAGGGAAACGAAAGAAGTGACCTCATGTCTTTAAGAGTTCAAGCAACAACCGTCTCTTTCATCCGTCCTACCCACGATGCACCGCTGCCTCTGACCATGCAGCATTCATCAGGTAGTTGGCAGTCGCAAAGCTCACAGACTGTTGAGAGAGAGAGAAAAAAAAAAAAAAACGGCGCAACTTTGCTTTTCTGAAAGTACTCCAGCTTTTGGAGCAGATTCAACAGTTTCCATGCAAGCGTCCGTTAAAGGAAAGATTGAGAGGAAATTAAAAAAAAGGGGTCAGCTCGAGTCAACAGTCACGGCCGTTAATGGTAGAGAGGTGAAAGGCAGAAGGTCCAGTGAAGCGGTGATAACTCACAGTGAGGAAAAATAGGAAGCAACTAGGGAGGAAGATTAAACTTTTACAAGCTCACACAGGCATGGTTTTTGGGAACGGAGGGAGGGGGGCAAGCACAGTCCGGTTTAATACTGCTGAGGCGGGAGTGGGGGGGGGGTTGGTCCTTGTGCAGTGCATTCTGGGAGGTCTTGAGTAGAGCTTGTGCTTTTTTGCGTTTCCATTGTGACTCCTCGACGGACCGCCGTTATCAAAAAAAACACGGGCGGAAAAAAAAGACTGTTTCCAACATGCACCTGACAGAGAGGCATGGCGTGGAGGGGTGTGACACCATGAAGTCCGCCCCCCTCACTCCTTCCATGTGTTGGTTCCTCCTCCCGTCGCTGAACCCTTGGACGTTGTTGGCGAAGCAGGTTTAGAGAAGAAGCACCTTTTAATTTGGCTCCGATAACAAAAGGAAAAGAGAATATAACAGGGAAGAAAGAGGGTGAAACTGTATAAATATGAGCCGGTCTTCTGGCGGAGCCGGGGGGGGGGTCAGCGATGACGGGTCTCACCCTGAGACCAGCGAAAGAAAAGACGGATTAATACAGTTATTTCCCCCCTTTTACGGTATTTGGGGCGTATTCAAACGAGCGCGATTGTCCCCTTACCTTCTACTTGATCGCCCCAGCCCTCCGCTACTCCGGCCAGCTCGTAATGTTTCTTCCTCAGCTCGCCGAGTCGCTCGCGTTCCTTCTGCAGGCGGGTCTCCAGCTCCAGAACCAGGACCTGAGGAACCACAGCAGACCCGCCAACGCAAACCCGTCATTTCACAGCGGTGCGCGCGAGCCACATTGGAAAGGGAACAAATACGATGTTGTCTTCGTGCTCGACACTTAATGAACATAGTCCTTGTTGCTTTATATTTTCCCTCCGAGGCCATTTCCCTACAACATTAAGGAATAAGTCAAGTCATCCAGGCTCACTTAAGTGAGGGAGAGCAGTGGGGGAGGAGGAAAGCGATCTGGCTGGTTATTTGATTATTTTTGTCCAAGTTCCCTTGCGTCTGTGCTTTCCAAAGCCCGGTTAAACAATCATTATTCTCTCAGGCTTTCAGTCCAGAAAAACACACTTCAAACGGGGGGGCCGGCTCCAACAATGGGACGTGTGTGCGTGAGCAGGTCCAGACCTTTCCGTGTTTTTCTTTCAGCAGCGCCGCAACACTGAGTGAAGTGTTTCACATCGGCCGCCTCAATGGACAAAGAACAATGCACCTTTAGTCTGATGGGGAAACCTTAGACAAAACTCAAACTATTACCCAGCATTATTAAATATTTAATTCCTAAAATAAGATTCCCTCTCGCTGGGGCCTTAATGGGAGATGATCGTCCTGGTTTCCAATGAAGTGTGGCGTATTAAGGTTGGCGGTTTGCTGTAATCTGCCGCTCACCTGCGCGTCCATCTCCTGTCGCTTGATCTGAGTGAGAGTCATGCTGGAGAAGTCCATCGTGTCTGTACACAAAGAACAAAAGGATGTTCAAACACTTTTCTCACAACAACTTGTAGCTCTGGAACCCCCCTGAACAACCCTGTGACCCAAACGCTCCAGACTTTCTCACCCTTTTCTTCAATCTGGGACTTCCCTGACTTGGTGGAGGCCACGACGGCCGCGGTGGCCTGCGTGACGCCGCGGGACGCCTTCTGCAGGCTCTGCAGGTTGGCGCTGTCCTTGTCTGCTTTCACCTGCAGAGGGGACAACGGCAGCCATTCGAACCATCTACCGCGCGTTACACACCGACCGAATAATAAAACGGAAACGTGCATCCTGGGCTCACCTTAGAGGCCGCCACTAGCTGCGCCGTGCTGGCAGCTATTTCGTGTGAACACACCATCAACTCCTCAAACTTCCCTTTGCCCTGCACCACCAGATCGGCAGCATCCCTGGAAGGAGGTAGAGACCACTTTGCTTACAGCACAGAAGGAGCCACCTGATTTATGAATGACCTTCCGGGCTTAAGACGTGATTCATCGGGCTGTTTGTTCTTGAGCCATTTGCTCGTAAAAAGGTCACCTCTTTCACTCTTCAGGACATTCACACCGCTTTTATACTGCATATGTACTGTGCGTCTTCCTCGAGAAGCAGACCCTCCGCAGGGAGGACTGATACTCACACCATGACCGTGGCGCCCCATCCCACTGCTTTGGAGGCAGAGATCAGGCCCTCGGTCCAGCGGGAGTTCTTGGCGTAAAACTCCTTGGTGGAGGCCGCCCCCTGGTGGACGAAACAGGAAATAATAAAACAGTGTTTCATGAGATCCATTTTAGACTCTTAGGGATGAATGCAGGGGCGGCAACCTACGATTCTTTATAATGATCCATTAATCGAGCAATTGATTTCTTGATTGATCAGTTGGGAATTTTCCCACAACATTAGACCGTTCCAAAATCAAAGTGCATTCACTTTACTTGAAGTGCGATTTAGTATCGAATACTACGCACTGTAATGAATGCAGCCAGAGACTGTAAGATGGCCAGTGCTGCCCCACGATACACACACTAGTCTATATTACATTGTATGATCTGCACTTCGCCATCTTGTGTTTATATGATAGTAATACTAATAATATGATATATACTAAGATTATATTACACCTTCAAGTCCACTGCACTATATCACAGCATAGTAAGCTAATATCATATACTATAGTGTATTCTATTAATAAATACTGTATCCTTATATACTTATTCACATTACGAGAACTATATACAGTAGACTTGCACTCATTAAGAAACTCACTGTGTCAAGTTATCTTGTAACTGTAAATATAAAATACATTAACGTATAGTTAACGTAAGTAAAAAGTTACAAGACTATGAAACTGAATATTCTAGATCAGTCAGATTGATGAAATTAAAATAAATTATGCAGAACACCTGATAGTGAGGAATTTATTAAAGACATGACCCACATCTCATTCTCAGAGTTGAGAAGAAGAAACTCACCCTGCCACCCTCCACGATGTCCTTCTGCAGATTTTTGGAAGACAGAACCAGCTGCTTGATCGCCTGCATCAGCTCTGTGCAGGCGGCCAGAATCCTGCAGGGGCCGACAGAGCAGAAGAAACACTGAGTACAGCAACGACTCGTCTCCCTTTCATCCAACCGGACGCATCATGAACGATGGTGCTCAATGAGGAAGGACACCAGTTTCCTCACTGTCCTATTATTGCATCAATCCACCATGACATCAATTCTCAATGTTTTATTTTAAGCTGCGGCCGTATAATTCTCCATCTCGCCCAAATGTTTTTTGCCTTAGTAATTAAGTCAGAGCAAAAAAGGGCAGAAAACGAAAACATATTTGGCTTCATTTGCACATAAAGAGAATAATTACACACACTGGATGAATAAAGGTGAAACGATACAAACCCAACAACTATATCACATGCAAACTTACTATACGACAAAAGCAGTAAAATCTAAAACATGAATTGAATCTCATGTAAAACTGGACATTTTAGCTTCTGCACAATAACGTAATCAAGAGGCTCCTAAACCTCATGAAACTGTTGGGTGCACCGTATAAATACGTGAATGTGGTGAAGGACATCTTTCATATGATGAGCCAGGGAAAAGCAAATGACATTGCCAGTAATAAACCTACTAAAGAAACTACTTTTAGGTTTGTATGGGTGAAAAACATTACGCGCCACATCGGCTGCAGACAGTTTGCTTTTGGTTTGTGGCCGAACAAAGACATTTTTCACACGTCGGCCCTGAATGTGTGACCGTCTGCAGCTTCACTGGAACAGCACGCAACTCTTGTGCTGCTTCGTCTGAAAGCATTTCCTATTTCCCTTCTAAGTTTATTGTCGTTGTTACATGTCATCACATCTTGTGGCTGGAAGCATAGCAACGGACCTGATTACTAAACGTCATATTTATTTAGGCGATTTAATTTGTCTTTGAACACAGATGCGGGTCTGGTTATTGATCACAGTTAAGTTATGCTCAATACAAACGACTGCCACTGTATGGAGAAAAAAGAAAACATCTCCTAAATCTCATTTAAATTAAATGTTAAAAAAATGCATTCTTTGAGGAGGCGGTAAAAAGTAAAGTCAGTCTGATTGGTGCATTACCTCTCATTGACCTCCATCTTGACTCCTGTATCAACTGCTCGAGAATTGTTGAGCATTTCCTGTTGGGATCCACAGAAGAAGGGAAGCAACAAACGAAAGTTAATACACACAGACACACACCAAACATCTGACACCAGTGGACCACAGCTAAACACACAAACACACCTCTATCCTGGCAGCGGCCGACTCCACCGCAGCCGAAGTGGACGCCATTTCCTGCTCCACCAGATCTCCCAGCTCCCCCTGCTGCAGCTCCAAACCCCGAGGACGCAGCTTCTGAAAGAAAGAAAGACAGGACAGGAGAGACGGTGAGTACGTTTTTACCCCCGTCGAGATTCATTCATTTTCTTCATCCCATCTTATGTTCACGGGGTGCAACTATTGGTATGAATGAAGCGTGGACCTCTGCGGTGGCCAGGATGGCCTCCAGAGCCGCCCTCAGCTTGCCGCTGTCCGCCGCGTACATGCTGCTCTGCTGCTTCATCTGGCCCAGCAGCGCCAGAGCTTCAGTCCCGCACGCCTTCACGCTGTCCGACAGCGCTGAGAGGGACACGGGGAGGGACACAGAGGGGGGACGTTATGTCATTACAATATGCAAACAATGCACGGAGCTGCTCCAGTGAAAAATGAATGACATTAACAGTGTTAAGCCTACATAATATACAGGTTCACATGGAGTACAAGACGGCAGAAAATAACAACCAGCCACGATGAGATTGTCTGTTAAAACAACGCTGGTGGCCGCACTGGTAATTATTCAGACATGTCCTGAAGTGTCACGTAACTGCTTAAACAGCAACAGGATGAGAGGAAAAGGGGAAACCAAACTACCTCCACAGAGGTTTTTTTTGCAGAAGCATGCGCCTGCTAAAGGCCGGCGCATGCTTCTGCGTTTGCCTCTGCGTTGACGCACTCGTTTCAATTCATGGTTCTGCGTGTGTTGCAGAGCAATTCACCTCCAGAACAACAGGCGGATTAACGTGTTTTGTTGAAGACGACCTAGAGAGTCACGTCTATTTATTTGTTTATTTATTTATCATAGACTTTATCGCTTTTCATCGCGGACACATTTGTCCCGTATTTTCCTCCACAACTTTGTTCCTCTCGACCGGCAAACCGGCGTTTGCGGCGATCTCCCTCCGTGAATCCAACCCGCTTCTACAACCCGCCAATGACGGCTTATATAAGCGGTCATATTAACGCATTTCTTCGGACAAAAGTTCTTCAATCTGATCCGTTTCTCTCGTAAACATTCTTCGTTTTAATAATGGCGGTATCGGGCTATGAAAGCGGAAATGTGAGACTCCGTAAAGGACGTAGTTAGCGGACCAATCGCAGCCTGGTGCACTGCGGGAGGCTTGCCTTGCAAGCCCAGAAAAATGGCTCGACACACGCAAGGAGGTGTGAAAAGTGACGCAAGGGACACGCAAGGGGGGCTTGCGTCTGCGTCGCTCTGAAAACGCAGAAGCATAAACCAGGCTTTAGATGCAGTGCAGCCAGTAGAACTGTACTTTGATTTGCCCAATTTAAGACACAGGGTTCCAGAACCAAAACAACAGACCCCGCTGAAGTCCCACAATTCTATGCTGTTATTGCAGTAATACGACTAGCGTCCAGTGCTCCATTATATACAAGCATGTTTAAACTCATCCAGGCTGCTGACATCGCACAAAGAGAACTAAATCCCAGCAAATTATAGCGACAATAGTCTTAACACACAAGGAGCTACGGGCCGCTTACAGACGTGTACAAGTCTGAGCCCACCGATAATATCAGGAGTGAAATCTGTGTCACACACACGTACCGTCAGCTTGCTCCACGGGCACCATGTGGGAGGTGGCACTACCCTGAACGATGGTGTCCCCCACCAGGTGGCCACACTGGGTCACCACTCGTACCAGCGCAGATACACCTGCATGAACAGATCATTCGATAGAACCTCAGTCAACGTAAACACAGACATATTAACACTGTCACTTTGCATCGATATATTATATTCTTTCATGTATCTGTATGTCTTTAATCAATAATGATGGTTGGAATTCTTAAAAACCAACAAATAAAGTAGTATTCTGAATATAGTAAACTACCGTAATATACAGACCCTAATCTTCAGTAATCAATTGTGATTCATGTTTTTTCCTCTTATCTTAACAGTACAGTTAACACCTTGTTCTGGCTTTGTCGCTACCTGGCAGCCCACTTTGTTTTTATGATTCATGTGTTAATACAGGGGTGTCAAACTAATTTCAGGTTTGGGCCACATACTTCCCACTTTGGTTGGCCAGACCATTGAAATCATAGGGAGGGGTGGCGCAGACGATCCGGCCGACGGGGATTTTTATATCTAATATAAAAAGACACAACGAGCCTCTCGTCTGTCAGAAACGACCGCGTGAGGACTTTTCTGTAATCCTCACAATAGCAAAGTCATCCGGCCCCAGCAGGCCGGATTTGGCCGTGAGTTTGAAACATGTGTTTTAAAGCCTCCAAATGCCTGTTGAACCTCCTCTTTCCCCCTTCTGTACGGCCCGTACCTGATGCACACCTACCCTCGCTTATTTCTTAGTTATACTGCACCTACATCATTATCCTTTGTAGGTTAGTTTAGTAAGTGATGAGATCACAAAATTCCCTGCAAAGCTTCCCTTGTCTTCAACTCGAGCTGTCGAGCAGAACAATAGGGAACACCTGTGTGAGCGCCGGGCATTTAATGATGATAATTTACGGCTCTGTGTTTGAGTCGTGAAAGTACCAGCTTATTACACATGACGTATTTTGATCTTTTGCTCGCTATTACAAAGCTCCTCTCACCTGTGTCGTCGGCAAGGAAGGCCTCTGTGGCGGAATGGAGTCGGCCCATACAGTCTAAAGCCGCCTGACATCTGGATGCTAGGTAGTCTGCGGAGATAAAAGAAGAAGAGACCGACATGGGAGCTCAGGCGTAAACGCGTCCTCAAACATCTTCACAAACAGCAGCTGGACAATCAGCATCCGATCACAGCTGCTCTGACCTGCGGAGCTGGTGCAGCTGATGTGCGCCGGGTCGTCTATCTGAGCCAGCGAATCCTGTATGATCTTCTCCGCCTCCTCCACCGCTCCCTGCAGGCTGGACCAGCGAGCCGAAACCAGCTGGCTCTCCAAGGCCTGCTCCCTGCTCTCCTGTGGGCGCGCACACACACACACACACACACACGGTTGAACTTATCACACAAGCCTTTATTTGAAATGTCAGAGGGTCCAAATGTGTAAATGATAAAGGCGTTCATTGACATTCTGGGTGCTTCGCTCACAACCAATCTGCTTGATTTATTACAGTTAATTGAGAAAGTTAATGAGGAAAGATAATTGGCAGGAAAGACAATCCGTCACCTTCTCATTGAGCTGATTCTGCAGGGCTTCGGCCGTCTTCACTCCGCTCTCCCTCTCAGTCGCCAAAGAGCTCTGGACTCGCTGTAGCTCCTCCCCACGGACAGCCAGCTCCGCCTCCACCTTCGACACGCACTGCACGAGCTCCGCCTTCTCGGACTGCAGGGCGAGCAGCTGGGTGCCGAGCACCTCGCTCGACTGCGTGGGCGGATAAAAGATGGAGGGATGAAGAAAAAAAAGACGATGATTACGGGGGAACAACGAAGCCGCAGGAAGACCTCGTTAGGATAACGCGGAGCCGACGTGACATTTCAGGATGCGGTTTGAGGCGAGTGCTTTAACCACACAATGAGAACCCGCTTCATCTTTGGCCGCTCATTATAACAATGATGCCTCCATTTAAGTTTGCGGGGAGGCGGACGGTCTCCAGAGAGGGTTTAAGTCGAGGTCGAGTTTATATTCAAAAGAACTTTGGCAAGCTGCTGTTATGCAACTTGACTGCAACAAACGTGAACTGAGGCAACCGAGTGAAGACAGATCCTGTGTTCCAGAAGTATGTGCAATGCCATTTTTAGATGGCCAACTAGTTAAATAAACATTGGCGAGGGCATAGTAAGAAAAAAAAAAACAAGTGTGAGACTTACAGCCTGAGTCCCAGCACGTCCGAGAGAAAGGCAGAAATAAGAAACAAGATTAATAATTTGGATGTATACTGTGAAAGCTGAAAGCATGGGACAGGAGCAAAGAAACGTGGGCTGTGCGTGAAAAGGACGAGGGAGATCAGACGGACGAGGGAAGAGTAGGCGGACAGAAAGAGCGACAGTGTTGATAGGAGTGGGAGGCAGAGACGGCGGAGAGGTACGCCGCGTGTGCAGAGAAACATCTGGAATGGTGAGGCAGAGGCAATCGGCGGAGTTGTGAGGGGGAATTCATGGCTCACTGAACCATCACTCCCCTTCAAATTATTCCTGCGGATTGATTCTTTGCTGGCGGGGTGCGAACCGAAGCAAAGAACCAAGCACAAGCAGTCGTTTGAACAAGACTTTATGGCTCGTGTGTTTTCATTGTGGTCCCTTCTTTTAAAGCAATGCCTTCTCGGCCGCTTGTTACAAACATCAACTTGGCTTCTGAGCTCTGCAGAGATGAGGGGCCTCAAAAGGGGATTAACTGGAATAGTAGGGGGTGAAATCTATTGTGCTGCTGTTGAATCTAAACCCAGATTTTCCAGAGATTTTAATCAGTTTAAATCAATTCTGTCGGAAACAGGATGTTTTGAGATATTTCTTTGCACTGTGCTTTGACAAAGAGGGGAGGCGACGTAGCAATTGACAAAACAAATGAAATGGGGGAAACAACAGTTGATGTGTAGATGAAAAGAAAGTTGGGAACATGTGTAAATGTCACGGATAACAGAGCAGCGATTCCCTTTGAAGGGTTTAGTTTTCACCATGTGAACAGCCTCATACAGGTTACAGACGGGCAAAGACCAAAACTACAATTGATTGATTTGACGTTTTGATCCAAACTGCGCTCCATTAGGATCACCCGGATTTGTAAGTTAAAAAAAATGACCCATCATGAATCTTTGCACACTCTCCCGCAGCAGCCGCTATTATCTAAATTAATTAGGACCCTTTTAAATGTGTTGTGTAAACTTTTCACATCGACTTTGCAGACACAGCGAGCAAATTGGAGCGACACTTTGTGAGAGGAAAGCGACCTGTTGTGACGAGGCCGCGGTGGTCTTCAGAGAGTCCAGCTCTGTCCTGCTGGACACCAGCTCTCTCTGCAGCTCCTGCAGCTGCTCCAGCTGCTCCCTCTCCTGAGCAACACAAGTCCCGAGAGTCAGAAAAATTGAAAATACCAACGAGCGGTTTCTTCTTATAGTCAAATTCCCACCGTCGCCTCATTATTTGAATCATGCATCGTGCGCGTCGCCATTGAAAACGACCTTGATGTCGCACTCACCTGTCTGCCTGCGACCTCCTGAGCGGCCTTCACCTTCTCCTGCATCTCCCGCCGCACCGCGTCCACTTCGTCCTGTGCTGCCCGAGCCACCGTCATCTGCCGGGTGACCTCCGCGTTCTGCACACACACGCGCACACGCACACACACACGGAACTCAGAATTTTCGGAAGGAGCGAGGGACGGCGAGAAGGATCTGATTGAACTTGACAAAGTAAGACTTGTCTTTCCTGACCTTCCTCAGCAGGTCGGCGTGACTCTGAACCAGCTCAGAGTACTTCTCCTTCAGTTTGCTGTAGCGCTGCTCATTGGCTTGAGCCTTTTCTGATTGGACACACAACATAGAGATTTACAGACATACACGGATATCTGCAGACACAATCATGGACAAAAACTGCAGGCAAGTGGGGGTCACAACCAAGGCCTTGTTTAACTAATCATTTTAAATTGTTCATGTTATAACCTCTAGTTTTCTCCTTACTTTTTAAGCCCCCAACTTTGTGTTTTTCTGGTCATTCTGGTCATGGTTGCCACAGCATCTAAACACCTGTACGATTTGGTAATATATTGTGCGTGTTGTGGAACACGATTTGTTAACTGGTTTTAGAGTTTCCTGTAGCTTTTTGATTTGTCAGACTAGGACAAAAAGTACTTTGATGTAATAAATGTCTTTCTCCATCACACATTAACGGCCGAGGAGCTTTTCCCCCGCTAACGTCCCTGATGTGGTCTTACTCTCTATCTCCGTCAGGCTGCGCTGCTCCTTCTCCGTGTCCTCTCGGACCCTCCGCAGGTCGTCCAGCTCCGCCTTCAGAAACTCGCTCTCTCCCGCGGCCTGCAGCCTCAGGTGGCTCTGCTCGGCGAGCTCCGCCTCCAGCTCGTTGACGCGTCCCCTCAGAGCCTGACACAAGCGGCCGCTCTGCGGCGGGACAGAGAGAGAGACTTACTCCGGCTTTCTGGGAATCCGCTGTAGACGGCGGTGCAGAGCGGTGAAGAAATGATTTACCTCCAGCCGGAAAGACTCCAGCTCGTCTTTGAGGGCCTGGATCTCCCTGGTCAGCTGCTCAATCAGGCGATCTCTGGGTGATAGAGACAAAGCATTCGTGGACATTACAATCTGAAACCCCGGGTGACTTTAAAAGAAATTTGGCTGGACAACTAGCATCATGCAGACACGCAGCGCTTTCTTACTTGTCGTCCTTCCTCAAGCCGTTCTGACCGTTGAAGTTGAACGGGTCGATAGCAGCCGAGGTGCCGAACAGGTCGTCGAACTTGGTCTCCAAAGGAACCTGTGTGTTAAAAACAAGCAACTTTAAAAGACAAATATCATTAGTAAATATATACTTGAAACATTGTCATTAACTAAACCAAGTAATTCAGCAATCAGCGCATTTACTAATATTTATCTCCTCACTATTTACTATGTTTAATAGAAGACAAGTGGGATTTTCCCAACAGCCAGATATGTGAAAAGTAGTATATTTAAAGACCCTGAAATGCCATCATGAATACAAACCAGATATTGAGAGTAACCTTACAAAGAATTGCCCATTCTTCAAACTAGAGACAAATCACATCAATCGCATTCAAGGAAACCTCTCCTGTTTAGTTACCGGCAGCACGGGGACGTCTGTGTCCACCAGGTCGTCCGTCTCCACCACGTGCTCCGACTCCGGGGACGACGACTCTGCCGGGATCACGACCACGGGGCTGATGTGCTCAGACAGAGCCGACGCACGCAGGAAGTTGGGAGGGTTCTACGGGAAACAACACACACACACAGGGCACAATTATAAACCACCATGTTGTTATTAGGAGGCTTTTACCAACTAAACATGTCCCCAAATGTCCCTTTGAAACTCTGACCAGGTTTTACAACATGCATTTCTCTCCACTGATATCTAGATTCTATCAATGATGAACTATGATGGTACAAATTCTGTGAATCACCTCTCTGAAAGTGAGTTAGTAGTTTAGCAGCCTTCAACATTCTAGTTTCTCGGAGGGGCTTAAGGAGGCATTGTGCGATTTCAACAATAAAGATAAAAGCAATGAAAGACAAACATCAATAACAATTGCAAAAAGGTTATTTCAAAATTAAAGGAACATTGCCATGAAATGAAGGGTGAAGGAGAGCGTGCGGCTATGACAGTGTGCAGGGAGTGTTTTTGTCATTTCATGTTAGTAATGAATGTGAGCTACATCCTAAAATAGATACAAATCGAGTGAGAGCAAGAGGTACATATTGTGAAGGCGGCCCACGTGTCACCCTCCTCATTGCAGTTCACCTCATATGTAGCAGGGTACAAGATTCAATGGGCAAAGTCAATTATCTTTCCTCATTAACTTTCTTAATTAACTGTAATAAATCAAGCAGATTTTCTCGGGTTGTGAGTGAAGAATTGTTTTAAGGTATGAAAAACGAGTATGCACGGATACACTTTCAAAACGCAGAACTTGTCGATGGGAAATGGATTAATTAATCCATCGGGAAGCAGAAACCTAAAGCAACCGTCAACTTGAGACTTGGATCTGGATCAAATCGAGGAATTGGTGAGGCCGGTCCTCACCTCAGGCAACTGTGGGATCTGAATCAGCCTCTTGAAATACTGCAAGTTACTGGAGCGATAGAACAGACCCTTTAACCTGAAACACAGAGACGGGGGGGTCAGGACAGATTTGACATTCGACGCTGAGAGCTCAGTCCTCAAGGTCACGCTGGGTTGTGTGGAGAGAAAACCGTGACCGGCGGTGAACTTCATACTTCTTAAACTGTTCCTGGAAGCGGTCTCTGTGGCCCTGGAGAGTGTCCGCTGGAAGGCCTGCACACACGGGACACAAAGAGCGGTCAGGTATTCTGTGTTTGTATTTATGCAACGTTTGAGTGCACACGTGGATGACGGGATGCAGAGCGTGAAGGTTTCAACGCTGGAAGGGGAAAGCCTTCCAATCTCCCAAACAAACGAACAGATGTGTCGTGAAGTGGTGTTGGAGTTGATCAAAGGGAGCTCTAGAAACATTTCTAGAAAACGGAATTCACGGAGCCGTCGTCTTCGGTTCAACTCGATTCAAAAGAAATACGTTAAATAAGTTGATGATTTTATTTGCATATCTAATCTTCATTCTGTCACATCATTAACAGGTATCTATAAATAAAAATAAATAAATAATAAATAAATTGTTTTTACAATTTTAAATCTTTGCTGGTGCCAGGTTCTAAAATATGAAGATTTGCTTTTTGTCTTTAATTTACGGCTGTTTTTTCTACTATTTGACCAATTTTCCTCTACATCATTCCCAGATTAATGCATAATGGAAAAAACGAATGAGGTCTGAACTCTAATTTGCACCTTAACAAAAACAAATGTCCCTCTTTAACTGCACAACATCCTCGTGTGCTCTGCACAACTTTGTGTGCTGGTCCTACTCGGCCTGCAGTCGTGCAGTTTGACTCACAGGAGTGCAGCTTAAACAGCAGCTTGACGGTGTAGTCGTACAGGTGGCTGCTGTCCAGGATGACTTGGATGAGCGGGGCGAGGCGACACTGGCCCGCCGCCGTCACCGACACCGACCGGGACATGTCCAGGGAGCTGAATACTGGGGGGGGGGGAGAAACACATTACTATACCATTACTATAATGTAGTACAATAGTGGGGAGAAGCGAACAGCTGACTCTTTTATTGGGGGGGAATTAGGGTTTAAAGTTGAGTATCAACCAGAACACTAATAGCTTTGTCTGACTCCGTCATTACGCCCCTCTTTCATGTCCCCAATCTCAAAAAAACTTCTTTGTTCATTGCAGAGGTGTGGTTTCCTGCACAGCTAGAACACACACACACACACACACACACACACACACACACACACACACACACACACACACACACACACACACACACACACACACACACACACAGGAAATCTTTGCCCCGATTACGAGATTTTTCAGGCAGGTTTCTCTGGAAAACTCCTAATTGCCTTCCGTTCGTTTATGAATGGGAGAAAATCACGGGAGCCCCACGTCCATACTTAAGAGTCTTTAACCCAGACTGGATCACCCAGACAACAGCACGGCCACCAGCCAGTACCTGACCACTAACAGCTGTCACAGTCTATTTCTGTGCACCGTTGCATGCGCTACACCTATCAGTCAGACCGCGTCTTCCTGTATGTGGGTGTGTCTTCAACCTGTGCGTGCCACATCATAATCCAGCTCAGATAATCACAGCTGCCGGCCCGCGGCACAGAGTCAGACAAGAATAGCTTACCCCCCAGGAAGAGGTTGAGCTCACACTCCAGGTAGTCAAACATCTCCACGGTGAGCTGGAAGCTAAAAGAGAGGAGACACAGAAAGAGGGAAACACGTTTTATTAATCCGCTTTGCGATCCACGCTTGTGTGTATATGCAGGTTTATCAAAAGAAAAAAGACGGGCAAAAGTTAAATGATGTGCCACACACTTTTAATATTACTGGGTTTCATAACTCTGAACACATTTTCTAAAATAATAACAATCCCTCCCTGGTGGAAGCGCTCACAGCTCATTACAGCCTCTGACGAGCAGTTTGTGGTGGACTTTTTTAAAGCATTTGAATAAAATCTTTGCTCTTCATTTTCATTCTATATTGTTCTTCTAGGTCTAATTTTAAGACTGTGTGAATAGTGAAAGAATATATAATTAATCAAATAAAATTTGTTCACTATTTGAATTTCTATTGATTTGTGCTAAACAGCAACTCATAGATTCTCACCATGAGAAGGTTCTTGCATTATTACAAATGTATTCATCCATTTAGGTGTAATTTTACACTTTGGTCAACACAGTTTGAGATAGAACACTGAAACTAATTAATATCCGGATCCTGGGAACGTAAATAACCACATTAATAATAATAATAACAACAACAACAAGCCACACTCACAAGTTGTTAACGTCGTTCTCTCCCGCCTCGTCCAGCTGTCTGTTCGACATCTGCAGGTTGCCAGGGAAACGAGGGTTCTGAAAGAGGGGACCACAGTGGGAGGTTCAGTCGTACTAATAACCATCTGAGACAAACACATGACCACTTCCAGGCCCAATCTGATGTCGATCACCATTAACAGCCTGTATACTGTACACATTCGGGGTACTAATTTCCATTTCATAATACATGCATGACTTATATTTGTGTTTGCCATTGATGAATTTAAGTCTTAGTAAACGCCGATGTATGAAATAAGAAATTAGTAATTAAGATATAGTGGAAAAATTAGTCAAAAAAATAATTAACTCAAAAAGTCAAAATATGTTGTGTGAGAAAGAGTCAAGGAGAAAAATTACACTAAAGCTGACTAATGTACGTTTCAAAACGTGTTCCTTTGGTTCTTGGCCTCGTGTTTTCTTAAAGCTTTATGGTCATGGCTGAATATTTAGCCAATTTACGCCTTGAGGACAGACAGACTGGATCAGGCAAAAGGTAAACCAAAACGCTTAATGTCTGTTTCAATAATGTTGTTAGACGGTTATAATAATCAGAGCTTGTCAGTGGCAAAAAACAAGAACTTTGAATGGAAGTACAAAGACCCGGACGAGTTGCCCCCCCGAGCGCGTACATCACTCATAAATGATTCACCTCAGACACGAGAACATCGAAAATAGGGATAAAACCGCAGCACTGAACTGTTTAATTATTAATGGAGTTTAATGGTGCGCGCGTCACACTACTCTTTTGTACTCTAATGTTACGTCGAGGCAAACTGCCCTCTAAAACCACTCGTGACATCTTCCTGTGATGCGCACGGCTGTCCCACAAAACGGCCACATTACGGATTCCGGCACTAAAACCAGAGAGAGTCGGAGACAAAAGACAACGAGTGACGAGGGAGACTGGGGCCGGATTATGTAGGCCAGGCCAACTCACTTTGATGTGGAACTCCATTTTGGTGATGAGCAGTTTGAGGTAGATGCTGCACAGCTTCCCGTAGCCTTCACTCAGGTGACCCTGGGGAGGAGGAGGAGGGCGCATTAGAGAAGGAGGAGAGACTGGTTCAAAAGTGGAAAACATATTCTTTTCTCCTTCTGGGAGGACATGCAGGTTATAGAAGGAAAAAAAAAAGCAAATCGATTCGTGTTTTGAGGAAATTTGAGGCACTTTGGCTGAAGGCAGCATAAAAAAAACATGAAGGAGCCATTTCAATTTCAAGCTGCGGGGCTGAATCATCTCGCAGCAGTCAGAATATTCTCTCCTCCTGCTGCACAGATCCAGAATAGAAATGTCCCCGGACCAAAAGTGTGGACAAAGCTAAATGAGAGTAGTTCTGTGGCCAATTTCTTCTCGCTTCCTTTTTCCTGGAGCTTGGGTGTGCGGGTGGGTGATGACACAACAGGAAAGAGAGGCCACAATCTCCCCCTCCCCGGTCACAGGGACCAAACTTCCCGTATCTTCCTGCATAGCGGATTATAGAAAAAAAAAAGTAAAAACCTCTAGGAATAGAGAGAAGATGTGTCGACTGGTTGGACCTCTGGTCGGGTGGCTGTATTCTAATGACAATGACCAAAATATGGCCGGTGGTACCAGACAATGCTGAGCGTCATCCCTGGGGGCCGTAGTATTATAATTAATAGGTATGGGAAATATGTTTAATTGATTAACATCCAAAAACTCCTTTATTTATCCATGTTTGATGTTTCCACATTCCAGGTACAAAGTTCTTCTCCTTGTGGCCGCAGAGACATAATAATCTGTGTCTTTCCTTACCCACATCCTGCTCATATCCGTTAAGTCCGCCTTGTTCCTCATGGAGTCCTTTATCACCTGAGGAGGGGGGACAAGCGGGGACAGAGTTAATAAAGCATGACTCGCCGGGTACAGATAAAGAGACCACGTGTGCGCTTCAGAGGATGTGACAAATGTCGTCGTCGTCGTCTCCACGTACGTTTGGATGTCCGTCTCGCAGCAGCTTGTGGAAGACGTGGCAGAACTTCCAGCAGAGCACCGCGTTGCTGGAGAGAGGAAGCCGGTTGATCGCCGCCCAGAAAGTGTGGCCACCTTTCTCGTGATGGGTGCCCAGGATGCAGGGTGCAGGGGGCCGGTCAAGGATCACTGGGCGGTTACCGTGCAATGACATTTTCTGTGTGTGTCCGACTCTTCGGCAGGGTCGTGTTATATCAGACGAGTGGATACACTTAAAAATCATCCCTGTTCTATTTATATTTAAAAAAGGGGCTTTCATCATCAGAAGAATCAGATTTTAGAATCAGTTTACTGGACTTTTATGGACAAATGTACTTGTTTCTATGATACAAGGAGACACTTTCTACAGTGTCGACAGCTCAGACAGACGAGAAAAGATGATCCTACTTCGTGTCATCATCATTGAGATGGTATTTTGAAAGTCACCTGGCTTCACCACTTTGGTGAAGTTTAAAACCAAAGCTAATGATAAATCGTCTAGGTACATTGAATTGAGTTCTTCCTCTCCCAGGGACTCACACATGACTAAACAGGCTACATCATCTGGCTCCGCAGCCTCGGAGGAACAGCTCCTCACACATGGAAATCAGGATAAAGGCACCTTCTCCACACACACACACACACACACACACACACACACACACACACACACACACACACACACACACACACACACACACACACACACACACACACACACACACACACACACAACGTGAGGATATTCCTGGCATGCTTCTCTTTGACGGCCACCTCCTGTGTGTTGATGGCCTTGTTGATGCTGACAGCCTGAGAAGAGGAAGAGAGGGTGGACAGAAGAGAGAAATGAAGAACGCAAATCAGTTTACAGGAACAAGAAACACGCGTTTCATTTTAAAAGTTGACGCCCTTCCATCTTTGTGAAAGCTGCCCTTTTCTTTTCTCACCACATGGGGAACTGAGAGTGGCAGCGCTTCTTTTAGCAGAACCCGATTGACCTATTTTCTGCGGAGTTAGTATTCATGGAAGCAGCTGAGTGGCTCGAGCTTCTCAAACATCTGCCTCATCAAGCGGCATCAGGAATTTATTGGCAAAATATGTTAGACATACAAGTTTGACATGGTGGTTGGTGCAGAACGTTGGACAATGAGACAATAACATCAAGACGAACAAACATTACAACAAAAATTACATGTTCAATTTACAATTGTCATCATTCATCCTCTCATTGTCATTTCTCTCTTTACGTGTCCCCCCGCAAAACAGTCACTTCCTAAAATTGGTAGACGTACGAGGTCGTACGAGGTCGAGAAATTGTGTTTGTGATTTATTTTAAGCCCTCACAGCAACACGTCCTTAAATCATAAAAAAGAAAGATATAAATGTGTATGTTTTGAGTGCAGACAGACAGGAAGTACTTGAGCCACAACACGGCCTTCAGATATCCAAGGACTCGTTCACTCACGAGTGGATGATCAGTGGAGCATCTGAGGGGTCTTGCAGACGCACAATCAGACATTTATCAGCTAGCGAAGCTAGCAGGTAAGCTAGCAGCTCTGTGCTAACACAACATTTAGTATGTTAGCATGCTAACACTTGCTTTTTATATATTACTTATATTCAATATAATAATAGAACTACAAAAAATCCCAAACTAATTATAGTTTTCTTTGTGTCCCTCATTGTTTTTTTGTAAGGCGTCTAAACAGGGGAACTGTGGGATTTGAGTAAATATGGAAAATGCTCTTGCCCTGAATTCCAAGCCCACAGTATTTGAGGGTTTAAGTCGTTTCAGATGCTTTTCAAAACAAGGTGTTCTGGAGTGACATCTGGCTGACATATCAAGTTGCACAAGAGAGGAAAATCAAACCAAGAATACCACACAGCTCAAACAAAACATGAATAAAGCCGCTGTGGTCGGCGTGGTAATCGTGACCCTTTGCGTGTGGCGTCAACAAGAGGACGTCAGGCCCGTTTCACAATCTCACTTCCCACAGATCCCCCTCCGAAATCTGCTCCACCGCTTCCATCATGTGAGCAGTCAGGACCAGAAGTCCGGACCGTGATGAATCATTGGAGGAAGAGGAGGAGCGAGCCGGGAGGGAAAGAAGGGACGAACTTTGACCACAACATCTGCATCCTTAAATAAGCGACCGGGTGTCACAGACTCTTTTTTTAATCTAAAATGTCCAGGAAATTCTTAACATAAAATGGCTATAGAATAACTCACTGGGGTTAGAGGAAAACAATCTTATTAAGTTCCTTTACTGCCTGAACAACAGAAGACAATCGGCCGCATCCTCCTGAATGACTCGTCACCAGCTCCAGCGAGCTGTCCAACACGAGTCTTTGTGTCCCCAGAAATCTAATTTACCACGGAGCTACAGCGGCGCTTCACTGAAGCAAAGTGAGGCCAGGAGGAGGAATGCAGAGCTGCTGGCTCCTGTTTCAGCGTCATCCACACCGGCCTGCGCTCCGCTGGTCATCCGGTCGATGACGAGGAGACACCGCAGAGTGTGTGTGTGTGTGTCTCGTATACATGACAAGGGACCACGCTTCCGCTCCGGTCCTTAAACATGCGCAATGATGATCAGACATGAGCACCGGAGCTACAAGTTCAACACCTTTCTTATTGCACATAACCTGAGCCAGTACTCCGGCTGTGAGGGCTTACGCGCTCCTGTACGGTCGGAGCTACGGTACATTTCCCCCGATGAGGGCGCAAGGGAAAGGTCACAGAGTTCAATTTGAGCATCTGGCTTGTGAGACGTTACACTTCCTGCTTTTACCAATATAGAAACTAAAAAAAAAAAATTAGAAAAAAAAATCTAACTCACATTTACTTCTCTCATCTCCGCAGCTGGTAAGAACCCTGCGTTGCACTTGGAGAATTATTTGCACGGACAACAAGCAACATTGGGCCGATATCTATTGCAGCTCTGGAACTGTTGCTTTAACACAGACCTCCGACACCGCTTAACAAACGGAATTAAAGACTTAACGGATCAAAGCCACACATTTTCTCTGGAGCTTTCAATCAAATCATCAAAGTATGAAACTGAATAGTAAAATGAACCTTAAGTGGTTATGTTTGAGGTTGAAGAATGAACAGTTAATGCATCACAATAGCATTTAGCACTCGGTTGGTTCATTTGGTTACGCTGATCTTACAAGCATAAAACACATAGTGTGAGAAGAAAATCAACTCATAAAACTGCATTTTTTTGAGCCGGGTGCTGTTATTGTTCGGTTTCACTTTCAATAAAACATGTGCAGATAGTGGTGATGCAATTAATAGGACATTCTAGCTGTTGTTGTCATTTCCTGCCGCGGTTATCTTGCTTTGTCGCCGGTACAAAAGGTCACGCAGTAGAAACGACATAAGACCAAAACCAAACGCATCATGTTTGGGATCATCTGTTTGCTTTCAAACATGCCTCGTTTAACGTGAATCTGATTATTTCAGCTTCTTTTTTTTTATGCATTTCCTTGTACTTCCACCCAAATACTCCGGGGATGATGGAGAAAGCACCCCTGGTTCCCACATGAGAATGACCCAATTAGCCCACAGTGAGACTTTGTGCTCTTTGGGTTGAAAGAGGGTGCCAGCTGCCCGAGAGTCCTGGCATCGACGCATCGTGGAGCGGCCATGCCGACCAGCTGAGGGGGCGCAGCGGTGGGGAAAGAAACCGCAGGTGAGGAGCAGGTGAATCCGAGGGGGCGGAGCAAAGATCAGCCCCGAGGGAGCATCTTAAATTGGTGAATGTGCTCAGAAACCTCAACTTCTTTCCTCCTGATACGACATGCTCGGGCCTCGCCTTGTTTTCAACACCACGTCCACAGGTTATGACAATGATTCAGCCAATTACTCACACAAAACTACTTTTAGAAAAACTCCCTTTCTCGGTCCACGGCTGCGCGATCGAACAAAGTGTTATTGATTCACTGGTGAAAGCATGTCATGTTAAGCCTGGCCAACCCCAGTCGGCCTCTTCAGTAGAAAGCAGGGCATTGACATGCTGATCGGCTGCGTCCACTGCAGCGTCCGTCCAGGAGAGGGGAAGCGCCTCCTGCCTGCTAAATGAAACGGGCCTCGCACCTCGAATCTGATCCCACCGATTCAGAGGCCACGTCTCGGCAATTCAATTTCCAGGCGGGCAGAGATAAGACGGGAGGTGCTGGCTGTGTACGCGAGTGGAGTGATGCAAGCGAGTTTAAGTGGTTTAATGGTATGACCCCCCCGCCGTTTGGGGTCCAGAGGGGTGGAGGACACATCAAATATTTACCAGATCATATATTCTGATGGCCATCTGATGAAACATGTTGCACACCAATGTATTTAGTCATAAAGTCAAGTTGTTGTTTTTTGATTGACCTATTTGAACTGGATTTGAAACGATGAGTCCATTAATCAATTAGAGAGTTGACAAAAAATTCATTCAATGGTTCCAACATCTCCAATGTGCAGATTTTCTGCACGTGTTAAATTCAACGTGATTTAAAAACACCGGTTATTTAAAAGGTATCGACTGCATCGAGAGAAAAAAAAGGAAGAGAGAGAACAAAACAAAGCCTTTATTTAGACCGTGGGAGCCGACTGTATTTCCCTTTTCTACTTGTAGTAGGAAAAGCACAGCAAAGAGAGAGCTCAGACATTTGAGGATAAACACCAGGAAACATTCGTATCCCCTCTAAATTGAAAGTGTATCCAGTGCTCTTAGAAGCCCTGACAATATTCTTTTGTCAAGCATCTGCTCTAATGAAGACTCACAGAATGCATTACAGTAAATACTTTTACTTCCTTATGGAAGTTTTCTCCACAGAGGCCACGACCTTCGGCCTCCATCTGTTTATAAATGATTCCAATTCCACGTTTCCATGCAACAGAGGGCTTTTCACACCTTCTTGTGCTTTAAAGGGGTAAATATGGACGCCGCATCACGGCGGCAGGTGGCAACGCTGCGGCTGAGACTTGTCTGCACTGTGAGCGGCGGGGAGGGGGAGGGGGGTACATGCAGCGAGGGGACGGAGGGAGGAATGAATGAATAAAGACAAATATATGCATGGTCTGTCTGTCAACCCAGCGGCACTGAGGTGCAGCGGGGTGGGGGTGCTCGTGGAGGGGAGGAAGGGTTGGGGCGCTCAGTCAGACTTCCTGTCTTGGCACAACCGGCACTGCCCATTTCCTGCCTGCTGAAAAATGCCCAGCTCCTCCCACCGCCGGCTAGAAACCACCGCTCGGTCAACCCAGACAGCGGCGGAGACGCGTCGGTCGGGCCGACCACGTCATTCCTTCTCCCCCCACCCCCACCACCCCGCCCCCACCCGCGCGTGCTTCCTCCCGGACGACCAGGTGTCTTTCAAGGGAAAACCACCAGCTCACAACAACTCGGGTCACCGTCATGTCATAGGCTGCAGCTACCAGTCGTGAATAAAATAGGACTTGCTGAAGCTCTCATGGGAATGAGGCGAGGTCACTGAAAAAGGGGAGGGGGGCCGAACAACAAACAAACACGAGCAGTCAGATCTCCTCAAATGAATGGAAGTGATCCAATCGGTCACACACGGTCCGATGATTTGGGTTTTGTGGTTTCCACAGAACCAAAAGAAGAACCGAGTAGTTACAAACGGTGGACTTACTGTTCACGCTAAGCTGAATGTTCGCTTCACGTCACTCTAGTGTGAGTGTTTACATTGAAGATGGCCGTATCTGTGATTAAAAAGCTACGATGCAAACAGTTATATACAAATCAGACTAAAGCACAGAATTTGGGCCGGCGATAACTCCCTACATTAACTCAACTCTTTTG